TGCATACATACACGGCGGTAGGGCAACGGGTGGGGGACGGGCGAGACAGGGTATATGGACAGCATGGTAGGTGTGGGTGTGGGCGCGGTGAGTCATGACAAGCACCGTGGCTCAGGCTGTTCTTAGTAGTATCATGTCTATATGAGTCTCAATATATCTCTCTGCAATTCTGTTGTGTCTTGCAGCACGAAGGAGTGTTTCGTACTGTCATATTGTCATGATTGCGAGTGCTAGTAGCAGGTACAATGGGTATACACTCAGCTACTGATTATACTTGCATATACCGCCCTATATAAGCCTATAAGTCTATTGTGCTATCATGCTAGTGTCTCTACAGTGTTCTATACTGTCCTATGTCGACCGGCAGTGGCGCTACAGATGGCTATGATCTTAGCCGGCGATCTATGGACGGCTATAAAATAGGGGGTTCGCAATGAGCCTATGCTGACTACACCTACTATATTGTCTAACATAGCGATTGATCTTTTTCCTGATGACGGTTTTACTTATCACCTGGTTAGCCTCTATCCGTGCTTATGGCGCGCAGGAGGCATTCAAAAAGGAGTCGTATGTACGCATCAATCGATACACTCGTGCTTCAAGGATTTTCTATGGTCTGAATCGGTTCGTTGAATACCTCAAAGACGATCTATATGGCGTTCTGACTGTCTCGCAGCTGGTTGACAGTCCATATAGCTGCTCTGGGGTCGTTCTATTCTGCCGCTTTGGCTGCCTACTTGGTGTACGGGAAGCCGATCACCGCATCTAATACTGGCCTTTCTCTGAACATGGCAGGTCAGAAGCCTCCGCATTGATGTCCTCGAGCTATGCTAATGTTATACAGTTGGATTCAGCAGCCAGATCCTGTGGTGGTTGATGCAACTCAACCAGTTGGAGGTATCAGGTACGTCCTAATATATTGGCTGGACTCGGAAACCGCCTACGATCCATGGTGTACTGTCTGGTAAGCAACAGGTATGGTCATTGTTACGTCAACCAGTTAGCCATGCTTACCATTGCTTAAAGTCTAGAGCGTATCAAGCAATACCTGGAGATCGAGCACGAGCCCATAGCCACGCCAGAACATCAGGAAAATCCTCCCCTGGGAATTCCCCGGCAATAGTAGATATTCTCAGTAAGGCTGAGATAGTCAGTAACCGTCGGTCATTCTGAGACGATTAGCAAAAATCTCAGTGCGATGCAGACCATGTAAGGACAAGTCAGTAATTCTCAGGTAATTCCGTTCCGAAATTGGAGCAAGCCACAGCATAGTGTGGAGAAGTGATAATTCGCCGAAAGCGTGGAATGACACACGACTGTAGGGAAGTGCTCACTCGGTACATGGTCACAACATGGTCATCACCCGTGAACAAGAGCTAACACATATCAATTGTGATCATAAACTACTGCGCATTATACCTCGTCTATGGACTCTACAACCCCCATGAACTGTCTATCGGCAGCCCACCGCAGCCCAGATTGACTTACCCGCCTCCACCTTCGAGCCCGTCACCAGCGCGTACTGCCTATCCACGGCACATACTGCCCGCGTGAGCATTGGGCCAAAGCTGAAAGGTGGCGCTGACATGAAAGGTGTGGGACGCGCGGAGGGAGATGGCGGCGCTGCGCGCACGGGAGGCGGCACTGATCGAGCACCTCGAGCGGGCGAAGGGGCCAGGCCCAGCGTGGATCAGAGAGCGGGAGAGCTGGGGTCGCCGGAGTGTCACTGCAACGACCCAGCTCAGGACGCAGCTGAAGGTGCGTGGGCCGGCGAAGTGGCAGACCACGGGTGGTGTGCGGCTAGCGTGCGTCAAGGCGAGGAGGGCGCGGCGCGTGGTTGCGTCGGCTGCGTGCGTCGGGCACGGTGCTGTGGCGGCAGCTTGCGATTGCTGCGCGTGAGCAGGACGATGCGTGTGCGAAAACCGTTCGTGGTCAACGGTGGTGGCGGCGAAGGCGACGAGGCGACACGGTGATGGCAAGAGGCGGGTCGCGACGGTGGCGAGCGGGGTGTGGAAATGTATATGATCTCGGGGGAGAGGCGGCTGCGCGGGATTTGCGATCGGAGGGCCTCGAACCCGTTCCTGTAGGGCATCGGCTGGCATCGGATTCGAAGCCCTTCGCGCGCAGCTGCAATCCGAGACGGATGTGTGGCACGCTGCGGAGCCCGCCCTGCATGAGGAAAGGCGTCGCCGCGAGCAAATGGAGGGCGTGCTCGCGGATGCGCGCCATGACTGTGCACGCCCGGTTGACCATGCCTGCATGCCGGATGCATGGAAGCCAGGGTCCTAAGTGAGCGAGCCTGCTTACGGTAGAGTCGGGGCCGCAAGGTGAGCATTGGGCCGAGGAGTGAGGTGGCAAGACCTCAAGAAAAGCGCTGACGAGCGAGCGAGCGCGGTAGAGGGACGATTCTCTCGTGGGTGAAAAGGTCGCGCGGAGACAGAAGATGAGCGAGCGGAGTCGGCTGGCAGTTGTCGTAGCCAGCGCCGGAAGAGTCGGGGTGAGTGGTCGCGCGTCCGGGGCGAAGCGACTGGGGAGTATCAGACGGAGAGACTCCGAGAAAATACACACCTCTATATGCAAGCCGACGGGGCATCCAAGGGCTGGCAGAGACATTAATGCGCGAGAGTAAAGCAGGGTTGAGTGAAGTCCGCAAACGCCAGCGGGTTGCGGCGGCACATGTGTCACATGACTCTTTGCCCAGGATACGGGCGCCAGTGCCACGTCGCGTCTTGAATCTTCCCCTCACATCCGCCATTGCGCTGTGGGCATGGCCCACGGTCTACGCACGGAATCGACAACATACGAACGCGTCAGGGCGAGAAATGGGACGGCAATACGGCGCAAGGCATCTCCGAGAAGTACGGACTTGGGGAACACAACACGAACGGGCCAAATACATTCCAACTAAGCCAAGCACACGGTTACAGAAGGTGCTACGGACGACTACATGGGGTCAGTTCAGCGAAGGGCTTGCGTTACGAACGTTCCCTCCGTCCCCGTTCCTTCCGGACCCTCCAGCCTCTCGGTCAGCAGCAGCATCAGCAATGCTACGCGTGAAGCCCATGGGGCGTGGATTAAGAGACATCGAACCCCTAGACGTGGCGAAGACTAAACGACGAGGAATTCCGGAATAATCGTCCGGAAGGTACAGCCCGTGTGACAGCTGGTCTTGAATACCTTGGACCGCGGCGGAGAGCGTGGCTAGCCCACCATCGAGCTGGTCAAGGGCGTCGGTGGTCGAACACTGGGCATCACTAAGAGCTTCCAGCTGGTTGGTGACGACGTCCCATCCGACGGAAGAAGCGCGCTGGTTCGATAAAGCGAGTGGACTGCTGCGATAGGAAATGGCTGGGAGTGGAGCACCTTCCTCAGCAATGCTCTGCTCGGCGAGGACGCGGTTAGGCGACCAGGCGATGACGGGGTATGGCTCGGGAAGAGACGACGCGTGCTCGGAAGGAAGGGTTGCGAAGATGGTGTCGAGGTACACTATCAGGGCGTGCACGGATGGTGTCTGGCGGACGGAAGGGAGAGAGATATCCCCGGAGGCTACGGCGATGCTACGAGACTCGAACAGCATGCGCTGGAGTACAGTCAGCGTGGGAGACGACGAGCCCTAGGAAAAGGACACACCAATAGCCAACGGCTTCCATGGGCCCAGGCCAGCCAGGCAGTCGGATCGTGGGGGAGGAGACGGGGTTCCAGGTCGCGTTCGTGTCGAAGGAGCTCGAGGAGACGGTAGAAGCGGACGACGTAGGGGGATTGCCCAGGGAGTGACATGGTGGGCGGAGACGGTGAGGGAAGGAGGCTGGGGCTTCACTGACCAACCGGAAGGAAGGGGGAGTAGGGGAGAGAACGGGGAGAGTCGGGAAGGTTTGAGGGCGTGGGAAGTCGGGAGGGGAAGGACATGGCGTGCTGGCGCGAGGGGGGGGACTTACTTACCACCACCACTTCGAGAGCGGACGGTTAGAGGCAACTCCTGCGAACTAGGACAGCTCTGTTTTCTTAGCGGCGTATAAATCTCTCTCTCTCTCTTGCGGATCTGCGGCGACAGCGGCGAGCGTGCGTATAGCGAACTCTGCGTATTTGCGTGTCTTTGCGGGAACAGCGGTTCCATCGTTCAGCGGAACGAACATCGGGCAGCGTAGCCTAACCACTTCCCTCCCCCCCCCTTCCTTCCGTGACTGCTAATAGTTACGTCAACATCGTCCGACAACGAAACCCGTCGTTTCTACCAACTATCGACCCCTGCATCAGGAAATAACCCACCTGAGAATTCCCGTAAACACTGCATAATCATCAAGCTTTCGCGGTAATATTGAGTTTTACCTTGTATCTGATAAACAGCAGAATTAGCCATGTCCTTCCCCGTCGAGTCAGAACGACGAGGTAATCTCTGGATTTCTCGGGCAGTAGCTCGACGTTACTTAGTGTTTCCGAGCACAATATCGTCCATTTTCATATTCACAGGATAAATCCAGATGCACAAGATAGTGGATAGGATCATTGATGAGATTGACGGTCATTACAGTATCTATGGTAGGTATATACATGCTGCGTATCTTCCAACCATGAACCTCGCAAACACCGCGTCCACACGCCCCGCCCGTCCAGCCACACCCACTTGTCTAGTGTGATGTGTCAAAGCGATAGGGAGGGACATGCACGTACTGCGGGGAAGACAAGCGCGAATAGCGCCACGTTAGCGAGGCTGCTGCCCCACATACATAGGGCTGTTGCCAGTGAGGGGAGGCCCGATGCATCTGGCCTTTAACAATCAATCGGGATATGATTCAGCCACACAGACGCAACACAGACGCACCAAAGGCCCAATAGTATGCCCAATGCTCCTCTAGGGATCTCACCCTTCTTGACAGCGAGAGTCCCCTCATGATCCACACATGCCTTCACAATCCATGAGCACCTGGCAAACACGCGCAACTCACCACTTACTCAAAGCAATAACATCTACAGCATCATCAGCCAGGATCTCACCGACACTGTCACAGAAACACGCGTCGACCCAGCAGAAGAACGCGAAGCCCGCAAACGGGCCCACCACAGCCTACAGGCACGCGCCCGAGCGCGAGCGATGTCGCGACCATGAGCCTGCCGTACGCGGAGGTCGCGAGGGAGTTGAGGACGCCCGTGTACGTCGAGGGCGGCGCGGGGCCTGCGCGGGGCCCGTGCTGCAATGTGGAGGTGCGCTTCGCAATCAGGCCGCACCAGTTCCTCTGCGCGTCAGCGTTAGCGACCACTCAATGCAGCGACAGATCGCGGTCCGGCGAGCAAGGTGTGGCGATTCCGTGCGAGCGCAATTGCGCGTGAACGGAAAGTTGTGACGACGAGGTAAGAATTAAGTAGATTGCTTGACAACGAGACGGGATGGCTTACCTGCTGGTCTTTTCTAAGCTTGCGTGTCGATGAAGACACGACGTCCGTTGGTGTGTACTTGGACACAATATATCGACGCCTGGGGAGCACGCGCAAGGGATGGCCGTGCGCGTCGCGCGGTGGATCGTGACCGACGCGTTCCGGCGAGCTGGGTGCGGGGAGACGTGATGCGTCAGTGTATTTGAGCTGCCGCGCACGGACCGGCCGCGTCGACAAGCACGGTACGAACGACCTTGAGGGGATCGACGATCATGTCCACCATGCACTCACCCTTGCTGGCGTCATAGCCCCATGCGAACTTGTCCTCCGCGCCGTATTGCTGGATCATGGTGCCGATGGGACAGAGCTTTCCTCGTCTGCGTGCTTGAGGATGGTCTACACGGGGTATGAGAGCGCGCTTGATGATGGACACGCTGAGTCCTGGTCAAAGTTGGCGGTCGGCATGGGCTTCATGTTGGGCAGGCCGTCACCTGCAAGCCAGGTGCGTTGGGCGAGGGATGTCTTGAGGAAGGTGACCCTCCTTGACGGCCGCGCGCGTGGCGTTGAGTGCTGCGCCTTGACGTTGGTGACGACGGCAAGTGATAGAGGGATGAAGTGACGCGACACAGTACAGATTTGAGCGCTTGACCACTGACGTGGCGCGTCGTGGCAAGAAGTCATGTGACACTTGTCCCGCTGGCGTTTCTCGTTCCTGTGCAACTTGTCTTCCCAATGTCTTCCTCCCCCTGCATCGCCGATGTCAGCTTGGCGCAGAGAGTCAATCCGGTCTCCTCAGGGCATCCAAGGTCAGCCACCTCCCAGACATTCTCCCCACCCTTGAGGGCACCGCCCAGGTGCGTTGTCAGCCACTCATCATTTCCGAGGATATCATCAGGAAGGAGGACACCATTGTCCTTGTCCTCAATGGAGGGGTCTCAAGAACACAATCCCGACCACAGGTGAGTACGGTCGCACGAAGCTCGGATCGTCAAGCGGGCGCTCTCGTACCTCGCGCGGACGATCTTCGCGAACACGGGCGAGGAGAGCTCTGTCCTCGTCAGCACCATGACGCAGCAGTACGGCGAGGAGGACAAGTTTGCGTGGAGCTACGACACGTGCAAAGGTGAGTTAAACGATTTATTTGCGGCTAATATTGTTGACCCATGTAAGGTTCTGTGCGCTGTGCTCATCGATGTGGTGGGCCCTGTTGTACACGACGAACGAAGTGAGCTGAAGGCTCCCATGTCAATCCGCAATAATGCTAGACAATTAGGTGTTGCCGGCGGCCCGAAGATCACAAAAGGTATGTACACATCTTCCTCTCCACCACATCGTGCTCACCCGCTCGCAGATGGTGTTACGGTCGCCAAGTCAATACAGCTGAAGGACAAGTTCAAGAACCTCGGTGTTCAGTAAGCTGTCCCCTCGTGTACGGCATCCAGCTTTCCGCTAATCCGCCGTGCAGCCTCGTTCAGGATTTCGCCTCCAAGACGAACAAGATTGTTGGTGACGGCACGACCACCACAACCATCCCCGTGCGCGCCATCTACGCGGAAGGTGTGAAGAACATCGCCGCCGGCTGCAACCCCATGGGCCTCCGCCGCGGTTCCCAGGCCGCTGTCGAGCGCGTCGTCGAGTTCCTCTCTTCGCACGCAAAGACCATCACCACCACCACCGAGATTGCCCAGGTCGCTACCATCTCTGCAACGGCGATGCTCACGTCAGAAACCTCATCGCTCAGGCCATGGAGAAGGTCGGCAAGGAGGGCGTTATCACCGTCAAGAAGGCCCGCACGATCAACGACGAGATCGAGCTTACCGAGGGCATGCGCTTCAACCACGGCTTCATCTCCCTGTACTTCGTCACCGACGTCAAGAGCCAGAAGGCCAAGTTCGAGAAGCCCCTCGTCCTCAGTGAATCGAAGATCAGCCGTCTCCAGGATATCCTCCTGCGGACGTGGTGTTTGCGAGGGTCACGGTTGGAAGATATGCAGCATGTAGATACCTGCTGTAGATACTGTAGTACATGGTCGTCAATGTCACTATCTTACCCATTATCTTGCTGTGCATGTGAATCAACCTGTGAATATGAGAATGGAGGGCTGGATTGTGCCTGTATTGTGCTCGGAAACACTAAGTAACGTCGAGCTACTGCCCGAGAAATCCAGAGATTACCTCGTCATTCTGACTCGACGGGGAAGGACATGGCTAATTCTGCTGTTTATCAGATACAAGGTAAAACTCAATATTACCGCGAAAGCTTGATGATTACGCAGTGTTTACGGGAATTCTCAGGTGGGTTATTTCCTGATGCTGCTCCCTGCCACCTCATACGGCCCTGGGAGACTCGCAACCTACACAGCGCGGCGAGTCGCGACCACTCAGGCAAGTACTTCATCACCAACGTCAACGTGGAGGAGACTGAATTTGATGAAATCTTCGTCCTCCTCAGTGTATCCAACAACAGCCGCCTCCCTGACATCCTTCCCACCCTCGAGGACACCCCTTGCGCGTGCTCGCCAGGCGTCGATCTATCGTGTCCAAGTACACACCAATGGACGTCGTATCTTCATCGACACGCAAGCTTGGACTAGACCAGCAGGTCAGTCATCTCGTCTCGTTGTCAAGCAATCTTTTTAACTCTTACCTCGTCGCCGCAACTTTCCGTTCACGCACAATTGCGCTCGCACGGAGTCCCCACACCTTGCTGACAGGACCGCGATCAGTCACTGCATTGAGTGCTTGCTAACCCTGACGCGCAGAGGAACTGGTGCGGCCTGATCGTGAAGTGCACCTTCACATTGCAGCACGGCCCCCGCGCAGGTGCCGCGCCACCCTCGACGTACACCGGCGTCCTCAACTACCTTGCGACCTCCGCGTACGGCGGGCTCATGGTTGCGACATCACTCGTGCTCTCGCTCGTGCTCGGGCCCGTGCCTGTGGTGGGCCCGTTTGCGGGCTTCGCGTTCTTCTGCTGGGTCGACGCGTGTTTCTGTGAGAGTATCGGTGAGAGCTTGGCTGCTGGTGCTGTAGATATTGTTGCTTTGAGTGAGTGGTGAGTTGCGTGCATTCGCCAGGTGCTCATGGATTGTGTAGGCATGTGTAGATCATGAGGGGACTCTCGCTGTCGAGAAGGGTGAGATCCCTAGAGGAGTGTTGGGCATACAGTATACTATTGGGCCTTTGGTGCGTCTTTGTGGCTGAATCATATCCCGATCGATTGTTAAAGACCAGATGCATCAGGCCTCTCCTCAACGGCCCTATGTATGTGTGGCAGCAGCCTCGCGAACGCGGCGCTATTCGCGCTTGTCTTCCCCGCAGTACGTGCATGTCCTTCGCTATTGCTTCGACACATCACACTAGACAACTGGGTGTGGCTGGACAGGCGGGGCGTGTGGACGCGGTGTTTGCGAGGGTCATGGTTGGAAGATATGCAGCATGTATATACCTACCGTAGATACTGTGATGACCGTCAATGTCATCGTTTATCCTATCCATTATCTTCTTGTGCATATTGGCTTTATCCTGTGAATCTGAAAATGGATGATATTGTGCTCGGAAACATCAAGTAATGTCCAGCTACTGCCTGAGAAATCTAGAGATTACCTCGGAATTCTGACCCGACGGGGAAGGACATGGCTAATTCCGCCATTTATCAGATACGAGGTAAAACTCATTATTACCGCGAAAGCTTGATGATTCTTCAGTGTTTACGGTAATTCCCAGGTGGGTTATTTCCTGATGAAGGGGTTCCGCCTGCGTACTGGCCGGCCAGCGGAGACCTCAAGGTCGAGAAGCTCTCCGCTCGGTACTCTCTGGTACGTCATTGTCGTGTCTGAAAGGACATCTACTGAATATATCCAGGACGGGCCTCGCGTGCTGCACGACATTTCCTTTGAGGTGAGATCTGGGGAGCGAGTCGGCATTGGTGAGCGGAGGTCGATTATATGCATGTGCTGAATTCATCATTCATACGATGATTCAGTTGGTCGCACTGGCAGTGGAAAGGTATGTATCCTGGCATATTTACAATCGCGTTCATCTGCTGATGCTCCACTTGCAGAGCTCCTTGACTCTGGCCCTTTTACAGTGTATTATTACTGAAGGAAAGGTGTACTATGACGGGATACCGATAGATCGCATCAACCTTGACGCTCTCCGGTCGAGCATCACGCTTATCCCACAAGTGGTGCGTGATTCTTCCTTTGTACACACCCGCGTCGCCTGACTTTCGCATCAGCCCGAGCTTTTGAGTGGGACGTTGCGTCAGAATGTGGATCCCTTCCAGCAGTATGACGATGCTACCTTGAACGATGCCCTTCGGTCTGCAGGTCTGTTCTCCTTGCAGAGCAACACAATCGGGGGCCGCGTCACTCTGGACACGCCCATCGCAAGTGGAGGAACGAACCTCTCCGTTGGTCAACGTCAAATCCTGGCACTTGCAAGAGCCATTGTGCGACAGAGCAAGCTACTGATTCTGGATGAAGGTCAGTATCGTATTCGTCGCAAGATGATCAACCGTCTGACTGGCGTCGAGCTCTTAGCTACATCTGCCATTGGCGAGTACTTCTGTTCTACCTAGGGCCGAGTGATCCTCACGCTTCACCTTCAGATTACGCTACGGATGCTGTAATCCAGGCATCGCTCCGCCAAGAGTTGGATAAGGGCGTGACTTTGCTCACCGTCGCCCACCGCCTTCAAACAATCATGGACGCCGACAAAGTTGTAAGTTGTCCTATGTCTCGACCGCCTTCGCCACTGACACACCCCTCGCAGATGGTGCTAGATGCAGGTCGGATTGTACGTGCCAGTACATATGATGCGCTTGCGGCTGAACTGAACATTGATTACTTTGGACAGGTTGAGTTCGGCAAGCCTAGCGAGCTTCTGAAGGACGAAAAGGGTACGCTCCGTGCACTCGTCGACAAGAGTGACGACAAGGAGACGTTGTACGCCATGGCGAGTCATGTCGGTTGAAACGTACGTAGCCATTTTTATGCGATCCGAGGGCTTTCAAGCTCTGGGTAGACTGCGCGCCGTCAACATGTTTGCACACTTCATCAAAGGGTTGTCAGATAGTATGATGTTGCGGACATATTGTCTTCGTTGTTGCTACATGCTGTACCACGGACAACATACACGACTATACTACTAGTAAGTGTTTGTAGAGCTCGAGCGGTCCGAGCATTCGCAAGTAATCCTCACAGACTACATGTAGGTCTAACTCGGCGGCGTGTGTGAGTATGGGTACAGCACGTACACAGCTGTGGTCCATAGAATCGGCCTGGACCGTCCAGCATGGTGGCTGATACATATGTGTCCAACATGCATGTCTTCGTCGATGTTTAGCAATGCACACCGAGAGTATGTTGTGAAAGTCTGTCCGGTAGCATAGGCGATACATACGCACGGCGTTCAAGATTATGCTTGGCAATTAGCGAAGGTGCATTCACGAGATAGGAAGTGCATGAAGAAACGAGCCCCTCCGTCCTGTTTTTCCACCTGTTTCACCGATATGGTGACGACGCAATGAGCACGCGCCGCGCCGCGGCGTCGATGCAAGGCATCATTTGATTCTCGGGGATGCGCGACTGTTTGACCAGCAAAGAAAAGTCATACACTCCAGAATAAAGACGGTGGAGCAGAGGTTGAGAGCAGAGTGCGAATACTATGCCCTATAGACCAGCGCCGCTGCGGGAAGCGCATGGACGTCTTTGGTCATTTAACCCTCTCGAGAACTTCGATCGCGACACGATCCGAGAAAACGTGTGAGAGAAGTGCTCTGTTCAATCGACTGTTGCCCCTGTAGGACGAGCTCCTTGTACAGATACCTGTAAGGGCGCCATTCAAAGCGAGAATTAGACCGACAGAAGACGGGGACTCACCATCCTGAGTGAGCCTGGGCTCTTAGAACCGTGTTTGTGTGTGCGTTATCGATGAGCAAAATTTGGGCACTGGCAGGCTCGAGCGCAGTGATGAGGATATCGAATGAAGGCCCGTTGGCACGCGGCACCAGCATAAGCGGCGGAGGCTGCCCTAGGTCTGACGGTCCACGCCGTGCTTCAGCGGATGATTAAATGCAGCCCGGTGGATTAAAGGCATGGGCGAACATGTCATCATCCACGCGGGCCTTACGGCCGTTGGATGTGCACTGTACGCCTGGCAGTCGATCAGTCAGAATACGTTCCAATGCTGGTGTCGACTCACCGCTGAAGCCTCCGAGTCGTCAGCTTGACAGACATCTGAGCCGTAGCATTGCAGGAAGAGAGCGCGTATCGTGAGTCTTAAGTCATGAAGAACGACAGTTGATCTGCCGCAATTATATTGTACACAATAACACCCAGGAGCGGCGGATGGAGGGGTCTGGAAGAAAGCTAAGCTCAAAGGTGACGATGTAGTCGTCGGTACCGAGAAGTAGGTAGAAGAACAGCCATAATTCGTAGCGTATGGTGCAACGCAGTTGCTGCATGTATTCGTGTCCAACGGTCCAAGTAGATTCGAATCCCGCGTAGTACCGACGCTCAGTCTTCAAGGGCTGGCTCTCCTTTTCTGGATAGAAAGCGTGGGGATTCAAATGGATCTGGGCCTGCCGAAATGTGAGAAATACAACCGCGCATCAGAGAGAGCCCGCTCACCTTGCATCGTACTCCGAGCGACTGAGGTCAAGGGGGTGAGGTCAAGTATACCTCGATCAGACCACGGTTGGAGCAACCCGCGAATCACATCGAGAAGTCCGTAAGCAAGAATGTCTGCTCTTGCCTTGCCCACGGATCCGGAGTACGGGTTGACGCCCTTTAAGTGGCTATTGCTAGGCACTATGTTCACCTCGACGGCCTTGAGCGTGCCGAAGTAAGGTCGGCGCATGATGTCATGCAGGTCTTTCAACGAGAGCATTTCGAATGCAGCCCGTAATTTGTTGGTCGTATCTCCAGCAAGATCGCAGATCAACCTGATTGATATATGTTCGAGCCTATAACCACGTATCGTGGCAAGTAGTTCGACGAAGTCATCGACCATCCGCAATAAGCCATCAGACCATTTCCCGGGGTACGCCATGAGTGGTTCGAAACGTAACGATCGCAAATTGGTATTGTGCATGAGATTGCCGTGGCTACGGGTCTTGAGACCTAGATACGATATCGTCAATTCTCGATTTTCCAATAGCAGAACGGAGACAAACCCATATCCGTCGCGTAAAATGCACTTTGTTCCCAGTAAGACACAAGAGACAGTCTAGCTGCTCCGAGGACACGGTCAACTTGCTCGGCCATCTCTGAGAAGCCAGAGGACCGCATGATGTCAAGGGTTTGGAGAGAGCCAACGAAGCCCGAGTCCACGAGCCAATCGATGAGTAGCGTGGCGGACACCGAACATGCGATGCTGAGGGAACGCAGCCGGATACCAAGACTACAATCAGGCCGCAGCTTTGGGGTTGATATCCTATGCTCGGGATGGTCCATGGTGAAAGGCAAGCCGAGGTCTGTCAAGTGAGGGGAGGCAGCAATGATACGCATTTGTTCAGCGACGTTGTTCAGCCTGATGTACAAGCGCAATGAATTGAGGGCCTTGAAATAAGAAAGGGCAAGCGTGAACTTCGGAATCAGGTATGGGGCAACGGGCCCGTCCAGCTCAAGAGACTGCAAACCCGACATGGCGCGACCGAAGGTCAGAGGAACGGCATGGAGGAATTGGTCTGTATATTGCCGCTTGCACGATGGATTTGGCGTCGGAAGGTACCCAACATGCCAGACATATAGACTGCGGGTCATCGAGAGCCAACCCCTGACGCGCGGAAACGTGCGCATGGACTTGGCCAGGGCTTCGAAGCGGGAACGCTCAAAAAGATAGATCGTGTGGTAGAGGTTACGCATAGCGCGCGGATACCACACCGCGCAGACCAATGCAGCGGCGGGCAACGTCCCGCTCGACATCTCGTCGATTACGCCTTCGAATATCTCGAGCGGGATGCGAGAGGAGATGCTCAGCGGCAAGGGAATTTGTAGAGGTGTGTCACTCCCTCCCAGGATCCGGTCGATACGCTCCTCGCGCGATGCATCGCCGTCCGCAGAAGGAAGCCGCACGAGCGCATTCGAGTCGGCTGGGTCCAGCGGGTGTGCGATTTCCTCCGGATGCTCGATCGACAATGGGGCTGTGGACGGCGGAGGGGTACTGTGTGAAGAGGGACTGGTCCCTTCATCGATGTGCGTGCGCGACGCATCCACGGGAGAAACCTAGTACGCAGATGCGTCAGTCAGACTGGCAGCGTATACGAGAGGCACAATACGGACGGAAGATCGGGGTTGTGCCATCGTCGACGTTGAACGGTTGTCTCTGGGTGTATGCTCGCTGGGAGGGAGGTAGAGGTGTCCTCAGGATGGGTGATATCGATGAAGACCGGGCACCAGCGCAGGTATTGCGCTTTCTGTCGACTCTCACGAGCCACGGAGCTTGTCAGATATCGGTCCCAAAGAACCTTTGGCTAGACCGGGGACATGAGCAGGCGCATGACTGACGATACTGTATCGCTGTTCACTTATTGGTGGAGCCGCCGGCCTTCGCGAGAAACGTGTAGTAGACACGCATACACTGGGGCTAAATGGACCCATCCTCCTCCTGTAGGATACGGAGCCACGTCAACGGCGAAGCTCAACAATCTGGCGAAGGGAACATACCACACGCAGACAACACAGGGCTCGCTGTACACTCGCCTCGCCTGTCCTAACGCATACATCCAACGAACCCAAAAGGATCAAGAAACCACAATACACATTCCACCGCCTCGCAGCGGCTTTTGACATACACGTAGTAGTAGTAGTAGTCAGACCAGACAGGGAGGTAGCAAGTAGCAGGTGCACGATGGAAGACAACGTAAGGAATATACGAAAGGCGAGAGTCGAGGCAAGGCTATTAGCGCGCGAATGGGCGAGAGATAAGCTAATGTGTGGTGCGTGCGTATGAGATATGGGACAGAGACAATGATGAGTTCGAGTTCGCATTCGAGTTCAGTAGAGAGAAAGATCTGAGACGCTCGGAGAGAGGAGAGAGACAGAGTACGTGTAGTGTAGGAGTCACATATGATAACGCAGAGCAGACAGCGGAAGGTCCGTATATGCAATAAATGAGCGTCCGGCGCGATGCTGCGAGGGTGCCAAGACGATGAGATGAGAGGAGAGGAGACATGAGAAAGACTGATGTACAGGAACGAAGGAGGCGGGCAATGATGTACAGAGCTGAGATGTGGTGATGACGAGCGTTGAATCGAGAGAGGCGAAATAAGGAGGGCGTCGATCATTATATGCGTCTAGGGAGAGGCCTACGCTTCACATCGAGACACCGCATCTTGCGAGCAAATGCGCACCGGAAATTAAGAGGGTCGGGGAGCAGCTCACACCCGTCACACCTACGACGAAAACTCCACGAAGCTCCTCCAGCTTCGCGTCGACCTGTCGTCCTCCCGGAAATCGATGAAGTTCGCCAGCGGCGACAGCAGCGACTCGAGCGTGCCCCGCCTGCTCAACTTCGGCGGCGTCGAGTTCGACCTCGAGCGCGTATCGGACCGTCCCCTCGTCGTCGGCGGGGGCGGTGATGGTGTGTACGCGTCCCGGTGCTGGTACGTGTGCACAGGGGCGGATGTGCGCGGGGACGGCGCGGCGGAGGCATGTGGGATGACGACGTCCTCCTCTTCGTGGAGGACCTGGAGCAGCGGGTTGTTCACGTCGCGCACGGCCTGTTCCAGCCCCTGCGAGCGCGCGCGCTCCTGCTCCTCCGCGTCCTCCTCCTCGTCATCGCTCATCCACATGAAGTTGCCCCCGCGCGTCACCCCGTGGCGGGTGCGCCCCTCGAGCACGGCGAGCGCGGCTGAGCGGTTGCGCGTGCGCGTGTTGAACGAGGCGACAGAGCGGAAGGACTGGTTGCGCGTGAGGACGGCGGGGGCGGCGCGCCGGGGGACGGCGGGAGAGGTCGGCGAGGTCGGCGAGAACATCAAGTAGGAGCTGTCGGAGGACTCGTGCGGGAGGATCATGGAGGATTTGCGGGAAGGGGAGGTTGGCGAAAGGAGGGAGGGTGCAGAGTGCGAGGCGCGGTGCATGGGCGACCAGGGGTAGGCGGAGAAGGAAGCATCGGTAGAGAAGGTGGTCGAGACGGTGAGGGTGGAGGCGCGACGTCCTTGGTGAGCGGCAGGAGCAGACAAGGGAGGTTCGGGGAGTGAACTGGATGGTGCAGGCTTAGGAGAGGGGAGAAGAGACTCCCGAGACGACTTGCGTATTCTGTTCGCAGGCGGCTTGGGTGGTACGAATGGGGAAAAGCTGAAAGTGGGTTTACTGGAGAGAAACGCGTCAGGACATACGGGAGATATGGCAGCCATGTACGAGGACGTGCACCAAGAATAGTGGTAGACTTACTGTGTGCGACCCATGCGTGAACTGGCCTCTGATCTCCTGAATGTGAGCGACCCGCGCGAGGTGACTGTGTCCTTCCTTCGAAGGCTCATGGAGCGCATGGACTGGCTTTCGGCGAGATCAAGGGATAGGAAAGAGCGGTCCTCGTCCTCCCGCTGGCGGTGTGGTACGAGGGTGAGAAACATGGCACTCGGGTCGGCCGACGAACGCATAGCTGCGTGGAAGCTGACGGTGTTGACGGTGCACGGCAGGCTGTCAACAGCCTTCCCGCGGCGCCGCTTCATGGATGGTGAGCGCGACGTGGAGGGCGAGGCGGCAGGCGTCCCGGTGAGCAGCCCCGAGGTAAACAGCGGGGAGTACTGGGCGAAGGCGTTCATGGTGGGTGGGCAAGTGGTCGCTGCGGCGAGGAGGGGGAGGGGGCGGCGGGGCGGTATGGAGAAGGGCGGCCAGGGCGCAGGCTGTTATATGGACGGATGACGGCGTGCAGAATATTTTCCTGATATTTTCCACGTCTATCATACCGAGCAGGCACGAGGCGCCCGCCGTTGACACAGGCGCCGGGCCACAGGCTCGGAGGCGGCGGGTAGCCCCATCGGGCGACGATGACTGGCTCTTGGGCCGCTCGCTGCCCCGCACGTTGCCAGACGACCTTCAAGTTCAACGGGGCTGCCTAGGGCCGCCTCAGGTGAGCCCCTCGCCGCTTCCTCCGTCTTGTCCTCGCGCACCGCCTCTCATACATCACCTTCTCGCTAGCAACCCGTTCTTCGCCAGCTTCTGCTCCCAGCAACGCCCTGTTCGCGTCACGATGCACTCCCCGGGACGTCAGCTTCCTGCCGCGGCCTGCTAGCGCCGGCACCCAGACAGCAGCCGCCGGCGCCCAGGGCCCACTTTGATGACCATTTATCATTGTCAATTCCAACGCGTGCCAATCACTGCATCGCGCCCTCCGATTGGCCAGCGCCGCCAAAGTGGGCATCGTGTGCGCACAGGCGCCGCCGCCCAGACAAACGTGGATCCGCCCCGAGCAGGACAAAAGAACTGCGTGCCCGCGCTGCGTGTTCCTCTGTGGCGAGCCCGCTGGAACGCAGATCCTGCAGGCAATACGTCTGGCTAAAGTGTATGGCTCATCATACACCGGTGCGTAGCAGGATCCGGACGTGTAGACGTTCACCCGGATATCACAGATATCGCATTTGTGTCTAGGAACGGGTGCGCCTCCAACGCACCACGGATGCACATCTATGTACGGTACTATCGACGACGCTCGTCAGCTATGCCTCACCCTCCCTCGTCATCGCGCTGCGCCTCTAGCGTGTTCGTAGAGCTATTACTAAGACTCGGGAGCACTACCCCGTGAGTATGCTAAGGCGACCGCGGCCGTGGTGCCGGATTCGGTATGTTTCTGTAATGATACGTTGCTGCGCTAGCTCAGTATGTCTCTGTGCATTCGATGATGTAGGGCATGTCTGCTTTGCTTGCGACATAGATCGGTCCGGAGGCTCTGATCACCGGTGGCGAGCTCGGAGTAACTCTTCGCTGTAAGGACCGATCATGCATGCGTCACAATCGGTGCATCGTAGCCACACCGAATCACCCGCAACTGACGCAGGTATGGTGCCGTGCTTGTCAACCTCGCAAGGCACAGGCAGGAGTCTCCAAAAGATGTCCCTCAGCCTCGGAGGGCTCGCGGGGCAGTGGATATCGTACCACTAAAGCATATCAACGAAACTACTAAATGATTTATAACCTGACAAGTCGCCTTCCACATCCACCGGTCGAGCAACGGTCGCGTTTGTCGACCGCCGTGCTCCGCTCCATGCTTCGCAGTTTCATCCTACCGCCTCTCGCAACCTTCTCCCACTCAGGGTCTTTCGGCCTCCGCTCTTATATATTCACAGCCACTCCAGATACACCCTTTATTTGATCGCACACCCCCTCGTATCGTCAGCTTGCCCCCGGCGCCGCGCCACCATCAACTAGCGGTACACTAACTACACTTGCCGCATATGGGAGGTCACCTGCCGGATCGGGCGCGAAGCCCGTTCCGCGATCGCGAGAGGCGCGCGCCTGTCGGAGGCTGCGTGCCCCTTGACGACCGACGCCCGACATTGACAACCATCCGCCAAGGACGACCGGATCGTTGGACGTTGTTGTGTGGTTGGATTTTACGTGATCTTCGCAGGCTTCGCGTTGTCTCAGCTGTTGTCCTGGATCGGGCGAGTGATGCGCGCTGCCTCCATGAGGCAAGTCTTATTGTGGGCCGGTAGAATGCTGGCAGCTGCCAGCCGACATCGCACCATTCGTCAGGAACGGTCACAGCCGCTGTCGAGTCGTCGACTTCTTGCTCCTTCGAGTGTGCGTTGTGCGTGTCGGGCACCTATAGTCTACGTGGCCGACCGAGCAGCACGGAACGAAGGTGGGCAATGTGCGGTTACTGCAGTGTATGATGACACTCATCGAACACCAGAGGCTGGGGTGTGTGCGTAGCTATAGCTATGATGGTCGTCGGATGGTCAACATTAGCGAGCACCGATTCCTTAGCCGTGCCTCAGTACCGGGCGACCTCGACCCCGTAGAACTTGGTGGCGTGCGCCGTGCGGGGCCCCCTCTTACTCTATCACTGGTGCGTGGTGTCTACGAATCTCCAAATGCTCCGCTAAACAACTTCTAGGAGGCTCGTACGCTCGACTGGATTTGCCAATGCAACGGTCGCCGGGATTGAGGTGCGCAGCATTGCGAAGACGGATACGGATACCATGATACACCTGCGACGAACCTTGAATTCGTCCTGCACTGAGCGCACTGGCAACAAATAGCGGCTTCGATCCGCGTTTCAGTCGCTGTGATCGGCGCCACGTATTTCGCATTTTGCATCTCGCATTTCGCAAGCCCAGCGCAGCTTACCCAGGCCCGCGTGTCGAGCGTCGAAGAACCCTTCTGCGACGCGATGTGCATGCTTGTTTGACAGCGCGCGGACGCGTGCTTTGTCTGCTTGCGGAGTCCAGGTTGCGGCTTTCGTCTTCGTCTATCGGATGAACGAGCTGATAAGCTCCGAGCAAGTGTGGATACGCTTCGCGGCGATGGTCGTCGGTCCAGGCTCGCGATTGAAAAGAGAAGTTACAGCTCGGGTAGCCGTTGTCTAGGTGCTGAATCATGAACCTCTGTATAGGCTCAAAGGCTAAAGCTTTGAAAACGGCTTGTCTGGACGTTGAGCGTTCGAGCCAAAACGAGTGACGGCAGGGTTAAGTTGGCTCACCAATGCAGGTAGTACCATGCTGATCATATTTGGGAACAGCGCCTCTCATAAATTCAATACAATGTTACATTGATTGACTCGGATCCCGCACGACGGGCAGAGCTAGGGCAGATCGTCCCATGGACGTGAGCATTCGCCGCACACATATTGCGCTGTGACCGAACTCTCGATCTGCTGACATGCATCCACGATGGCCGGATGAGCGAGCCTCGAGGTCTACGTATATACGTACATCCACCTGCAGCGAGGCGTTCGAGGTACGCCGCCGACCGAGCTTCAAGGTTGGTCGCCGTCTCCTGATCAAGCTTGCAGATATGCTTATGAACAGGCCAGGCGGCTTTCTGACAGTTTTTGCTCTTTCGACGTTCACGAAGATCAGGTTAGCCTAACGCATGAGACGCATTGATTATTGATGAATGCATACAGGACCTGTCGACCTGACATGCGCTACACTTCCTCATCGTTACTCCGTCTTCCTCACATTTCGTGCAGTGTTGACGCTGTCGGGACCGTCGACTGTGTTGACGTGGGACGGTGACACGGGCACGTGATGTAGCACCCGGCGCGTAAGGGCGCGTGTAGCGTAGTCGCACCTCAGTCTAGTACCACGAGGACTAGGACTGAGGTAAGTACCTGTAGCTTTAGTCTCGGACTTGTACGAATACTGAATGGACACTTGAAGTGTATTGTCGTTAACAGGTACGCTACAGCAATGTATAGTCTAGTACCACGAGGACTAGGACTGAGTGTATTGTCGTTAACAGACTGACCGGTTCCTCTGGATTTGAGAAGGTGTGTCTCTGTCGCGCATTCCGAGTGGGAAGAATCTGCTCCTGGTTCGACTGGCCGGCAACTATGCTCATGTCTTAATTGAGTCCAAAACCTGGACAGGAGGAAGAATTTGCATGGCGTACGTCGCCCACAAGCGCCCGGTTCGTGGCATGAACACTTAGTAGAACGATATGGGGCTGCTTGATACTGAGATACTCCCAATCTGAGCTTTTAGTTATGTCGGCAGGACAAAAGAGATAGGACCGAACATTAGTTAGTGCATTCGTTAGCTGGAGATCCAAGTCAACTGTAGCTCGATGCACAAACATTTATGTTGCGCGCTCAGGACAAGATCCTACTCATTACTTAAGTATCTAGTAGTAGCCTAGTACGAACCTACGCATATACATATACGCGAGCTAGAACCGTCTGCGTCATCTCGGAAGCTCGAACGTCGACTCATCGACGCCTTCACGCCGTCGATTAGTCGACGTGGGCTTGCTTGAGATGACCGCCTCAGAACGGTCTTGGTCTGCCTACGGCAAACTAGCCAGCTTATTACTTGCTTTCTTGTCGTTTTGTACCCATCGACTTTTTGAAGCGAAGAACAAGCATCAGTACAGCAGTACACAAAGGAGACTGAATCAGGAGAAGTAACGCAGTACTCTGGATGAGACACTCTCATTGCGTCCTATGTTATGTTCCATATAGTTTTACGGGAGAGTGAAATACAAGCTACGAGACTCGCTACCACGGTCAACGGAAATGAACACCGTCTGCCCAGTTACGGCTACATCTGTGATATAGGCCCGTTCCTCTCCGAGCTGCGGCCTGAAAACCATTAACCGCTCTCCTTCCCTCGGGAAGCCATGATCGAGGAAATGCCTCAAGTCGACAGCGCACATCGGCCCGTCGTGGAAAACAATCACGACTAAGCAGTCATCCTGACTGAGGCCGCTGTATGCCGGACCAACCTGCACGCCGTGGTTGATCGTCTCCATCCGCCGCTGGCTACCAGTCGCGGGATCGAGGACAACTACGTACTCGAACCTGTCCCTCTGGATACCATCGCCATTGTCGTGCTTTCCGAAGGCAACGATGACGTCCAGCTTAGCGACATACCGAATGGTGTGCACCAAGCCTCCAAGGGGCTTCGCTTGCCACCGGATAGTCATGGTCTCCGTGTCGATGGCGTAGATCAACGTCTGGCAGGCGGACCTCATCGGGAGCACGTTACCGTCCGCCTCGTAGACGACAAGCAAGAACGTCTTCTCGTCCAGAGGTACGCTGCACGTCGGGTAGATCTGATCGCCGTCCTCGACTCCAACCTCGAGCGTGAAGCTCGCGGCTGGCTCCGGGGACTTCGGAATGTCCGCCCCCCGCCAGAACAGGACCTCCATCTTGCTACTCCATGACTCGGAGGACGTCGCAACGATGTCGCCGTTCGGCTGGACGTGGACGGGCAGCAGCACGCCTCCGTTCGTGTTCCGTCGCAGCTCCTCGCGAGCCTGGAGGCGTGCGGGAAGGTTGACACTGCCGAGGACACCGCCGTCCCCCACGACGTCGCAGAGCAAGATCTTGGTAAGGCCATGGGGCGGGAAGCGTTCCTTGTCTTCTTCTATGTTGACCAGGATCTTGCCGTCGGCGTACGGGACTCGGTAGTCTTGTGACAGGATGATTCCGTACAACTCGAGCTTGCGGATGAGCCGACCGTCGACGAGGCTGAAGACGAGGAGGGAAGGTACATCATCATCAGATGCCTGATTGGCGATGATGGTGAGGTCGCGGTCGGTGTCGAAGACGGGGTCAAGCAGATACGGCATAGCTGGCTGGGCGAGGGTCGCGATATGCTCGAGGGGCCCGTGCGGGCCGCCTGCCCGCCAGATATCCACACTGGCTTCGCTGAAGATGAGCACATACGGCCCATGAACGTAGAATGCCTTGACGCTGCCCTCAGGAGTCAGAGGCTGAGGGCTAGCTAAAGACATGCTGGTACTAAATGGTGTATACGTTTGGCTGAGCAAAGTGTCAGCTGGATCATACGTGAACTTTCAATGCACCGTAGGCTCACTTTTCACGGAAATAGAGCAACGCAGAGTAGTCGTAGTGAGAGGTGCGTTCAAACACTTTTGAGTGCGGCGCAGAGAAGTTATGCCCTCTTGAAGAGACTATATACTTACCCTGCGTCGCACAGCCCCATTGCAGAAATCTTGATCGGCGTTTTCAGGTCAACAGCTGTTGTGACCTGTATGATGGATCGCACGACGTACGATGTGTTCTCTCACATCTTCTGCTGCTGCAGGGTACTACCTCGGGGAGCGCGGGCCCGAGATGACTACCAACGACTTCCTGCAACGATTGAATGCGGCGGACTCGGTGATTGATCATGGCTTCGGTTAATTTCGCTTCGAAGTTGCAGTAGGACAATTCATGCGGCATATGACGAGTGCTTTAGCCTGTCCAGGACAACCGACGAGGCGAAGCAGCACTCCCGTCAAGTAGTCGACGAGCTCGACGATGCTCCGGAGACTGAGGAGACTCGCCAGGGCTACCAGGAGGACAAGGACGAGACGCGCGTCAACGCTGGTTACAAAGCCACGCTGAAGAGTGATTGGAATCGTGCCGGGCCGGCGCATGTATGCGCAGAGACTGACCCGAGATGGCTCGCAGACCCGAACGTCAGCAAAGAGGCGAAAGACCACGCGCGCGACTTCTTGAACGCTATCTAGGCTTGCTCTCTCCGACATGGATCCGTTCTTGTCGACGTCGACCACTGTGGAAACTAGGGTAGATTCACATAATAAGTATGTATACTGTATACTTGTATGGCTTCAAATGACGTCAGTCGCTTTTGTGTACGATCAATTCAAAGATCTTATAATCCATGACTCACAGCGTAGCAGGCGAGTACGAACAAAGTACGAAGGTTACTTATGCGAAGGATCAACGAAGGATCGACCGCGCGCCCTGGCTCTGCGCCCACAAGTCAGCCACAAACACAACAAGCGCATATTGTGCGCGCCACGACCCCTCCAATCAACCTCCAATCCTTTGACCGGTTGACGCTCCGCCGCCGCGACGTCCACCATGACCTTTTGTCTGCGCAAATCCTTACTTATAGTGGGACCTGCGGACAGCCTTCCGAACACGATGCTACTCTAAGGCGCTGGATAGCCCGTTGGTCTTGAGGCTTGATAACTTCGTATGCAGAACATTGCGCGCGCGTCACAAGTGAGGCCACCAAGCCCGGGTTCGGAAAAGTTCAAGCTATCAAGACTTCCAGATTTTGTCAGGCTTTCGTAGCGTTAGCCTAGACGGGATTCAGTTGCAGAAGCGGCAATGCAATGCACGGAGCCTGAGCTTGAGGCTCGGCTGTCGGTCTAATCGCGGTGAGCTCGTATACCATTCGCTTGAGTCGCATCGTACTTACCATCATGGTACTCCTCAGCGTGCCCGCTCAAGCGCGTGTGGACGAAGCAGCTTCATCATTTGAGTCGATCTTCAGAATGTTGATGACCGGACCACCTGGTCACCTACACTTTGAACGGGGATTCGAACTCCTGGTGCTACATAAGCTGTGTATGCAGACAACGAAACAGGAAGTTAGTCACCCTTGACCCTCGAGTTCAGAGTATCCCGTGGCTGACGAGCCAGTGGGGTTTTAGCCCTAGACAGTGCAAGTCTTTCCACACGACACAGCCAATTGCAGGCGAGTCCTACCGGCATAGGGCATGTATTCCCGGCAGACGACCAGCGGATGACAATCAGTATACCGCCCGAGATTTCCAAAAGGTTCAGCACCCGCACGGGGCGGTCTAGTTTCATCCGGTTGGCCGGTCGTGAAGAACACGAGCTGAGATGCCTTTCGGGAGCGCACGTAAGGTATCGCTTCTATCACAGATATGACTGCGCACGGGCAACGGGAGGCCCCACACACATAAAGCCTCACCGTGTCTCGCATTTCGATTGATCTCTCTCCTCTTCGGTATGTTCTGCAGCTTCGGAACGAAAGTAACCGAAGCCAACGTCGACCGAGTCTGCCGCATTCAAGTGTTACGAGAAGTCATTGGTGGTCATCTCGGGCGCTCCCCGAGGTACCCGCACAGGTCATGAGAGAACACATCGTACGTCGTGCGATCCATCATACACGTCGCAGCAGCTGTTGACGACGCCGATCAAGATGTCTGCAATGGGGCTGTGCAATACAGGCTAGGTATATAGTCTCTTCAAGAGGTCATAACTGCTCTGCGCCGCAAAAGTGATCGAACGCACCTCTAACTACGACTATTCTGTCTTGCTTGATTCTCGCAGAAGGTGAGACGCTGTATTAAGTTCACGTATGATCAGGCTGACGCTCTCTGTTCAGCCAAACGTACACGCTATCTACCAGTATGTCCTTGGCCAGTCCACAGCCCCTGACTCCCGAGGGCAGCGTACAGGCGTTCTACGTTCATGGGCCGTATGTGCTCATCTTCAGCAAAGCGAGTGTTGATATCTGGCGGGTAGGCGGCCCGCACGGGCACCTCGAGCATATCGCGACCCTCGCCCAGTCAGCTATGCAGTATCAGCTTGACCCCGTCTTCGACACCGACCGCAACATCATCATCATCGTCGGTGGCGCTCGGGAAGATGTGTTTCCTTCCCTCCTCGTCTTCAGCCTCGTCGACGGTCGGCTCATCCGCAAGCTCGAGTTGTACGGTGCCCTGAAAATGTACGACAATCACCTCGAGTACGCCGACGGCAAGATCCTGGTCGCCATCGAAGAAGGCAAGGAACGCTTCCCACCCCATGGCCTTACCAAGATATTGCTCTGCGACGTCGTGGGGGACGGCGGTGTCCTCGGCAGTGTCAATCTTCCCGCACGCCTTCAGGCTCGCGAGCAGGAGCGACAGCTCGCGGCAGGAGGTGTGCTACAGCCTGCTCATGTCCAGCCGAATGGTGATATCGTTGCGACGTCCTCCGAGGCATATGGTGACAAGATGGAGGTGCTGTTCTGGCGCGGGGCGGACGTTCCGAAGTCCCTGGAGCCAGCCGCGAGCCTCACGCTCGATTGCGGAGTCGAGGGCGGCGATGAGGTCCACCCGACATGCAGCGCACCTCTGGACGAAAAGACGTTCTTGCTCCCCGTCTACGAGGCGCTCGGTAGCTTTCTCCAGATAGGGTCCGCCTGCCAGACGTCGATCTACGCCATCGACACGGAGACCATGACTATCCGGTGGCACGCGAAGCCCATCGGAGGCTGGGTGCACACCATTCGGTACGTCGCTGCGCTGGACGTCATCGTCGCCTTCGGACGGCACCAACATGACGACGACCAGAAGCGCGACACGTTCGGGTACGTAGTTGCCCTCGACCCCGCGACTGGCAGCGAGCGGCGGATGGAGACGATCAGCCATGGCGTGCAGGGTAGTCCAGTGGAATACGGCGGCCTTAGTCGGATCGCAGATGACTTCGTAGTCGTCGTTGTTTTCGACGACGGGTCAACGTGCGCTGTCGAGTTGACACATTTTCTCGAGCATGGCTTCCCGAGGGAAGGGGAGCGTTTAGTGGTTTCCAGGCCGCAGCTGGGAGAGGTGTCCAATGTCCAAGAAATAGCCGTAACTGGGCAGACGGTGATTGCTACCGTCGGCCATTGGAGCGAGCATCGTAGCTTGTATTTCACTTTCCCGTAAAATTACCCGGGACATTACATGGCATGGAATGAAGGGGGAGTGATTCGTCCAAAGTACTATGTTGTTTCTCCTGATTGAGTCACTTGTGCGTACTGCTGTACTGATGCTTGTTCTTCGCTTGAAACAGTTAGGCTGGACGACGATGAGTAAAAACCGACAGGAAAGCAAGTACCAAGCTGGCTACTCTCTCGTAGCACTAAGCAAACCAAGACCGTTCTGAGGCGGTCGTCTCAGCAAGCCCACGTCGACCTACAATCGACTCCGATCGACGGCCTGATCGCTCCGAGAAGGCGTCGATGTCGACGTTCGAGCTTCCGAGTTGACGCACACGGTTCGACTCGCATATATATAGGCGTAATGCGGCGGCGCATGCGTACTGTACTGTAAGTAATAGGATCTCAGCTTCAGACATAAAAGGGGAGCATCGGGCCATATCACTCGGATCTCCAGCCAATGAATGAAATAACTAATATTCTGTCCTATCTCTTTTTTCCTGCCGACCCAGCTAAGAGCTCAGATTGCGAATATCTCAGTATCGTGGATATCGTTCTGAGTATCATATATGATCATGGAGGAACGGGCGCTTGTGGGCGACGGCGACGACAAAGGGCCACTTCTGAGCGCTACTGATGTAATTGCTAGTGTCCCGCACCATTGTACACCGTGCAAACTCTTCCTCTTGTCCAGGTCTTCGACTCAATCAAGACATGAGCATAGGTCTCCGCCAGTCGAACCAGGAGCAGGTTCCTCCTGCTCGTAATGCGCGACAGAGACACGCCTTCTCAAATCCAGAGGAACCGGTCAGTCGACGGGCCCGACAGTGTCAACACTGCACGAAACGTGAGGAAGATGGAGTCACGATGAGGAAGTGTAGCGCATGTCAGGTCGACAGGTACTGTGTGCGTTCATTCAATGATCAATGCGTCTCATGCGTTAGGCTAACCCTGATCCTCGTGAACGTCGACAGAGCAGGAACTGTCAGAAAGCCGCATGGCCTGTTCATAAGCACATCTGCAAGCTTAACCAGGAGACGGTGACCACCCTTGAAGCTCGGCCGGCGGCGTACCTCGAACGCCTCGAAGCTCTGCGCGACTTCACGCGCAAGCACCGTGCTACCATTTCCGAGGCTGCCTTTTTCTCCGTTCGCCACAACTACCTCCCACCTTCCACCTCGGACCCTGTCGCTGCCTCCAAGGAACGCGAAGATGTGCTCGTCATTGAATTGCGGACCCGGCCGAACGCTCACCGCGCACGGCCCGAGAAACGCTTCTACGTGATGGGTGCACAGCTCGAGACATTCTCTTCCTTCTTCCCGGAAGAGAAACTCGACGAGATGCACTTGAGGCTCCGGAACTGCAGAGAGGAGGCGACGGCGCATCGAGGACCGAGTGGAGCCGTAATCGTTGTCTTCAGCCTCAATGACCCTGACATGGAGCTCATGAACGTCATGCCGGTTGCTTTCCTGCTCGATCAAAGCGACGTAGAGGAACTGGGCAGACCGTGGAAGGAGTTCCTCATCCATATGTTGAACAGAGGTATCGTCGAATGAGAGGATGGTAATCATTGTGGATTCCTTTAGGAGGCCTGACATGCTGTGCTCACGCTCATGCTATGGACGGTGCACCGTCACTACTAGCTCTGCTATGAGTTTGGTCCATGGCATGAGAGCTTATTCCACACGTCTCGAGAGGAAATGTAGTATGATGTCATTGATTGAGTATCTTGCACAGTTCGCGATGTACAAATACGAAGGCTCGCACTGCTTGTACTTGTAGATTAGGGCGGTCCAGATATGTCAATGGTTGTTCGTCTTGCTATGTATATTGTCTCAAATCTGTAGTTGGTTGGACGTGACAAGGGGCTTTGTGAAATGGTCCAGTAAACTCTGGACCCTGAATGCCTCGTCTTAACCTACGCTCGACCAGCGATTGGTTATCTCAAGTATACATCGCTCAAAACACTAGATGATTTGGGGACAGGTAATGATGCTGCGTGATTCTGCAGAATGTTATGCGGATTGTCGCACTGTTATAGCGATGATTGTGCGGCTGCAAGTGCACCAAAACGACAGGATATAGCAAGTCTCGAGCGACGGCAATATCGGTATAGGCTCGATGCGTCGCTGACCTTCAAGGTCCGCTGTGGAACGTGCAGACGTCAACGGTGGGATACGACAACAATACGTAGCCCATCTACGCACCTGATGCCGCAACGCAGGGGCGATACCTGGTCCAAAACACGCAAGACCGTCAGTGTAGGGTACAACATCCAGCCACAGTTACAGAGTTGAGCCACAGGAACGTGGATGCTCGCGAGATCAGGGACGACAGCGCGATAACTCACATTCAGAAACCTGTTCAGGTCATGCATCGTTGTCCGTGAAGTGGACCACTCCATACCGGGTACAAGTAGTCAAGTTTCATTCTCCTTTTCCTTGCCCGACTTCCTGCCCTTTCTCTTCCTTCCCTGCTGGCTACTCGATCCGCCCGCATTCACCTGCGGTGGGGGCATATACGTCACGTTGCCGTCTCTCATGTTTGCCCACGGTCGATGAGGATCAACGCTGCCTTGCGCATGTGGCACCTCCGACGGTGGCGGCGGGACGCGTTTGCTCTCCGGCTGCACCTCGTCCTTCAGCCCGCTCTCCCGCGACGCAGACCTCGAGATAGCCGGCGACGAATGATATGACGACACCGTCACCTTCTTCGTCTTCGAATTGAGCGACAACACCCTGTGCGTCTGGTTCGCGGGGTGCGACGAGAGGATGTCGGAGGCGGATGAAGGGAGGCCGGATGCACCGACGGCGAGTGTGGGGAAGGCCCCTGCGGCTGCGCGAGCTTGCTCGATGGCGTGCTGCCTGTCCTCCTCCTCTCGTGCTAGTGTCTCAGCAATCTGTGTCTCCAGCCGTGCCTCGAGCACCGTACGGACGTCGGGTGTAAGGAGAGGGGAGGCGCAATGGGGGCAGGCATAACGAGGCACTTGCAGCTCGCATAGTATCAGGCCGCAGCTACGGCAGACTGGGGTGTATGGAGACAGCACATGCATGCGCGCTGTCTCATTTCGTTTAAAGTAGGCACTCGCAGGCGAAAGAGGATTGGGCGTACCCTGGCAGAAACACCCGCCCTTTGGGTCTCTCTCGCGGCCGGTCGTATGCCGTAAACCATCTCTCAGTTGCTCGAGCCTGCGCACCTCCTTGCTCTTTGCTGCTTCTTGAGCCTTTTGCTTCCCCTTGCCTTGCGGCTGCCCAGAACCCTTCGGCTTTGACGGCTGGATGCGATCGGATGTCCAGGCCGTGTGGTGCATGCTGGTGTGTACGTCTCTTCTTGCTGATGATTTAGACGATTAGATAGATTCGACGAGGTAATGACAAGGTCAGCGATGATTCCGGTAGTGGTTGCAGCAACGAGTCGAGCTCAAGTTTCCGAGCAAAGTGCTGAGCGCTGTGCGCTGAGCCTGAGTGCGGTCCCCGACAATCGAGCGCCCATAAGAGGCCCAAAACGACAAGTGTAGCGCTCAAGTACTAGTAGCGCTGATCAAGCAACGCTGAGGAAGAGGAAAGTATCAAAATACTGCGTCGGGCCTGCTAGAAACGAGAAACGAAAGCGGCTACTCGGGCGGGTCAATGTACTCGGTCAGTCGAGTCTTGCGATTGAAGGTCACAGAGTCAGAGTGAGTATACGTATTAGCCACAAATTGCAATTGACTGCCAGTGCCATCTAATAAACTCGCAGAGCGTACATCGCTACTATGTTTGCGTACCATACATACTAAGTCTAGGTACCAAACCCAGACTCAGAGGTGCTTCTTGAAGAACTTGATTGTAGCCTCGAAGGACCCTTCCTTTCCCGTCTTCACCTTCGGGTTGCTCTATACAATTTTGTTCAGCAGTCTCTACCCGGTCACAAGCAGCATAATTCTCACCATATCACCCCGGACCGCAAATCCGTGGGTGCACCCATCCCAGTACGTCCTCCGGTAGCCGGGAGCGAATTTACCGTCGCCAAAGACTTCATCTGCAATCTTCTGGGATTCAGGAGGGAACTGTGGATCGACCTCGCAACTATTGACCAAGAGAGGTGCCTTTGACTCAGAACGGTATTTCTACATGACGCAGCGAAGTAAGTGACAGCTTATGGGGTCACTTTGTCTCGCTGCTTACCTCCAGATCGCCGGGGACTTGGAGCCGACTCGGGTGGGAGACGACTGTGACATGGCTAGTGTTGCTGTAAGCGAGATAGAACGCAGGAGGAGCGCCGTAGCAGTAGCCGGTCGTCGCGAAACGCGCGACGCCCTGCTCCTTGAGCGCAGCAACGACCTTGTCGACGATGGGCTTCCAAGCATCTTCGCCGTGGCGCGAGGCCCAGCCAGTGCGATCGAACTTGTCGCGGTTCTCGGGAAGCATGGCGTCCTCTGGGATCGCGTCGCCTTGGAAATAGTCTGGCATGACACACCAGAAGCCGTTGCGTGCGATGTCATCGACGAGGAGCTGTCCACCAAACGGATGTCAACCTTAGCTATGGTGCGGCGACGAGTTGGACGTACTTTGTTGTTAATGAGCGGAAGGCCGAAGACATCTGGGAAGAATAGGACGACTGTGTCCCTCGAATACTCGCCAGACGGCGTGGCAACATAACACTCGACCCCGTCAATCTTCTCGATTCTCCCTGTGCAATCACGTAGAACTTCAGTGTCTCAGCTCTTGAATGTACATGGATCGCCACCTTCGGGTACGCCCTCATGGCGGACGCCTAGAACGTTGGAGATTCGCGATGTTACGGCACTGTCTCAAGTTATCGATCGATTGTACTTAAGGCTCACCGCTGATGCAGTCTTTGCACACCGGTTCAGACATTGTCACGTACAACCACAGGTACGGAATGGAGGTAGGAGCTCTTTGTAGGTTACTCTCTCGAGCTGGTAGTTGCCCGCGAGCCTTTTATCTTGCTCTGCGCCAGACCCGGAAATAGCACTGACTGACGACGCGTCCCGGCACATCGCCTTCAGGATCTCAAGTCGACAGCGAACCACCTCTGGCACGTGCCCTCAGGCTCCGGCTCTCGGCGACACGAATGGATAGTGCAACTCTTATGAAGGATATTCCATCGTGTCTGTTTTTGTATCAGATCGTGTCTGCAACAGTGCAACGAGCAAGAACCGAGTTTGAGCGTGACGGTAGTGGCATGTCCGAGTCGGATGCGACCGTACAAGGCACTTAGGCAGACGCCCAGGACCTTCCAGATCCAGATCTCACGCACCCACTGGCAGCCACTGCTGCCGGTGGCGGCCCTGGACTCCGAGTCTCCTATCGATGGTCTGCAGCGCCAGAGTGTCTCATTCGACTTCATGGTTGATTACTGCGTTAGACACGCATACTAGGTATTCGAGGTTCGCACGAAATACAGCACCGTTCCAACCTTCGAAAACTTTGATTCGAACGCTACTACCTGCCCGGCCAAGTGAGTGATACTGAATATTCATTACTGCATGATGCCACCAAAGTCTCGACTGCTTATCTTCTTCAAAACATGCGTTACAACGTAGGCAATCACCCAATGTCACGGGCCTCGTATCACCATAAGTAAGAACTTGGGCTTTCCTGCTTGCTATACTTACGTCATATAAAACATAGCACCAAGATCGGCCGACTGGCGAAATGGCATCGCGTCTGACTACGATTCCGTAATATCAGGGGTTAACAGGTAGGAGGCAAAGAATGAACGCGGCGCGGCGCGACAAAGAATGAACACGGCGCGGGCACGCAGGCCTGGGGCGCCCGCGCAGGGGGCGCGGCGCATGGGGCGCATGGGGCACGGCGGGGCACGGCGCATGGGCCGCCGCAGGGGACGAACGGGGTCCTTGGAATAAGACTGCAGGTTCGACCCCTGCGTTGGTCATTTTGTCTCATTCACGGTCGCTCTTGAGGCAGCTGTCCCTGAGCTGGCCGCTTCGGAGGAGGCGAACACTTTGACGGAAGGTGCGTGTGGGTGCATCTGAAGTTGAAGACTAAATGATATCGTGTAGAGTACATTACCGCTTGTACTTACTGTGTGTGCAACGAAATCGCATCGTGCTAGAGGTTGTATGTCGGAGATCGGTATGTTTTTCTTTTATTATCCTGGCCTATGCTCGTCGCCTCACAATTTGATAGAACTTTATATGGCTGATGAGAGTTCAGACAGGTTCTCCGTTGTACCCGTGCGGATGAACGCACGAAGACCAACCCCGACCCTCAACCACCCACTCAACGAGCTTGTGACAGAATCATAAGTCGGCATGTTGGTAGACGTTCAAAAAACAAAACAATAATGCCAGAAGGGCGGATCGAACGCCCGACCTTCAGAAATTTGCCGAATCACTCAATGCTGAGTGAAATCTTCAGTCTGCTGCTCTCCCAGCTGAGCTATTCCGGCATTGATTAGCAACGAGGTTGATACATTATAATTCTGGTGGCATGGTAGGTTTGGTTTGTAAAGTTAGGAACTGTACCCTGACTATATCTCGAATTCGCTCACAACGCAGGGGACACACCGTTGTCTTACATCAATGACGTAGAGTCTATGCTCTGCCTAAGGCTGCATAGCTCGGCATATCTCTGACCAACTTTTTCGGTGGACGGCGGAGCCAGGTTCTCCTCATAGATCGACAAATGTTCGCTTCAGGTTCGTTCAAGTCGATGTCTGCATTGCCTCCGCCTGACGCACACGAAGTCGAGACGGTCAGCATTTTACCTATCTATAGTGAAGCATGCGTTTTTGTTTACTCTATGTATTTCAGTTGTCTAAGACCGTCTCATACGTCCCCCGGACTTTATCCAATCTGTTGCTCTCCCAGCTGAGCTAATCCGGCCCTGACATCCATATCCGTTGATGTGCCGAATATGATGATTATGGGACGCTGACTTCTTAAGCTCACAAAGACAATCGCGGCTTGTTAAATACGATTTATCCTCTCGCGAGGCTACATCCAAGCCGTGTATACCGTGATCCGTGCGGAATCGACGCCCCATGAATAACCCTTCTGCGACGTGCTAAATACTGATAATTCAGATCCTGGTATGAATGTCCGCATCCACCGCCTGAGCCCTCCCGATGCGCCTTGCAGATCCCACACCGTGACGTAGCGATTGCTGCCAGGCCTCAGTCCGCGTATCTTAATAGGTCTCCGTTCGGTGGCATATGGCCATTCTTCCCCCGCTGCATCGAACAATGTTAATCTTGGATCCCTGTAGTTGACCTTCGCCGTGGCTGCAAGCGCGGCATCAGCAATCCCGCATCTGAAGATCTAAAGGACGGCGAACCTTCGAGATAAATACCCGTCTCAAACACTACCCTACGCAACGGCCGCCGAATCCTGGCCATTCGTGGCGACAATTTCATGCTGAGGTAAGGCTGATTGACAATGTTCTGCCCGACCACGACACAATCTGAACGTGTGACTGATGTTCGCAGCCAATATTCCGCAAGATCTAGGATGCATCGGACTACCTCTGCAGGTAGGTTACAGCCTTTCTCCAACGACCTCACCGTCTCAATGATGTCCCTCTCGTCCTGCGGAACGTAGCTGTCGCCGCACCCGGCACTACTAGTGTCGCTGGGCTTGGACATACTGCGTACCTTCCACCAACGTTGCTTCCGGACCCATACCATATCGGCGGAGGAAAGCCAAGGCTCGTGTGCTTCCCTAACCTCGGCGCCGCCCGTTGATAGCAAGCGCTTGACCCTAGCTGCATCGCGAAGCATGCATGCGATATGGAGCGGGGCCAGTCGATGATACTCTGGAAGAGGCTCCGGTTCGCATTCGTCCAGTAAGTAACAGTTCATCGTCATGTTCAGAACCTCGAACAGGGCCACTGCGGCGGTGTAAAGGGTGTCATTGTACTCGAAGAGATCTTCGCCCTCGATGTCACTCGCAACTGAGCTGGCGTCAGGTGTTAGTTGTTTGACTCCGTCGTATGACGACACTCCACGGGCTGTGATCCCGAAACCCATCTTGTTGAGTTTCCTACTCCCATAACGTAGACGCTCCGGACACCACCACTCGGATGTAGCCCACTCGAGATCCGATTGGCCTAGCCACGGCTCGCATATTTCGCCGACGTCGGCGCCGTTCTGCAGGAGGCATACGACCATGTCCGTACTGCGCAGCATGCACGCGACTTGGAGGGCGGTAAGTCCCAGGTTTTTCTGGTTTCTTTCATCGTGGCCTGCATCGGTCAAGAGCCGCATCGTTTCCACGAAAAGTGCATCGGGGCGCGCTACGTAGGGGACAATCATGCCCCCTGGAGAGGCGCGGATCGTCACGTCGGTTCCGCCGCTGATTTGCTGTTGTGCTTCGGGGTCGCGTCGCGTGGATGGCACATGGACAGGAAGCAGCGTCGATCGCCGTTCTCTGTCTTCTGTATGGATTTCCACCTCGCGGCGAAGCATGGCATCGAAGTCCGGGCTTCCACTGCTGTGGATGGTTGCACCGTAGTCTAACAACAGTTGGACGAGATCGTTGTTCTCTGTTCGAAGGGCGAACCAGAGGGGAGTAGTAGGAAGATAGGCTCCGCCGTGAGAGGATGGTGAGCTGGAAACGCGATCGGGATCGGCACCGGCCTGCAGCAAGTGAGCGACCATATCCCTGTCGGAGCGTGATATGGCGTTGATCAAGGGTGTGCCGTTTAGAGTGATGTCCTCGTCCAACAGTGCAGCATTCTGATCAGCAATGCTACGTGCGACGTCTGAACCGTACGAGAAAATACTCTTCAACTCCTTGTAATGATGCCTGAGCCAATTGTGCACCTTGCGCCGGTAGACTGGTTGTGCCACAAATGCTACGGCCAGCTGGCGCAGTTCCTCGTCCAATTTGTCAACCCTACGTAGATGGTCGGACCACCAGGGTGCTGCGTACAGTGCAAACGGATGCTCGTCCAGGACGGTTTCCTGTCGCCATTTCCTGTCCGAATGCTGCTCGTCGACAGTTAAGGCCGTGACAGGAGGCTCAGCAGTTCTGGGCGTATCTCCAAAGTCGTCGGCCATGAGATACGTGAGTATGAGTTTCGAAGTCTCGGAGCGCACGGCGGATAGATCGGAGACATGTGGCTTCAAGAACCTCCTTGCACGTTGACTGAACAAGACAAACTCCTACAGTTCATCAGTAGTCATTCGTACTAGATAGGCTAACACGCACTTTCACAGAGTAATGCGACAACCTGATACACCCTGTCGTTGGTTCGACGTACACCAGACTGCTGCACAGATCGAGAAGGTCGGCCGGTCGCCACAATCTTTGCCCCTGATTCAATATAGGCTTTCCCTTCTCGATCATCAGTGCTTCCAGGATCTCGTTCTCCGTGAGCGGACGCAACGTGGTGACGAGCCACATCAATGCCCGGTTAACCACCGCCAAAGCGTCATCTCCGTTTTGCTCTATTTCGATGAAGATGCGCTCGTAGGTCGGCTCTAGGCCGTGTGGGAGTGAAGATAATGCACGTTCGATGCCTCCAATCGTCCAGCCGCGCCTGCACAGCATGTCGAATTGACAGTCAACCCAACGGAACCTATTCCCGAGTCAACAGTGCAGCCCAGTTTGCGTTGAGTATATGTATGACAACATACATGCCATCTGCTTCTTTGAGCAACACATCCTTCACCCGCACCTTCGCGTCAAGAGGCAGGTCCGATAGCCGATCTCGCGTGCGTAGAGTGTCGTCGATGTATAACTCCATATCACGATAGTGATTGCGGGACTCGTCTGTAGCCTCGAGACAAATAGACAAACACCCGCAAAGGGCGTTCGCTATGTCTTCGTGCTTGCGACTGCAGAGGAGAAGCCGAACGTTTGCCGCCTCATGGAGTACAAGCCGTGACAAGCATTCGAGCAGCGCTGTCTTAGACAGAGTTGGGCATTCGTCCAGAGCATCCAGGACGATGATCACCCTGCGACCATCCGCGGCAGCCACCAGTTGCGGCTCTAGCTCAGGGATGCTGGCAGGGGGTGGCTTCTTCTCCTTCATTCTCGCGATGAGCTTAGGCACGCGAGATAGACGATTGGTACCTCCGGATTGAATCAATTGGGTGAGCAGGGCACGCAGTACTTCGACTGCGTTGGTGCTCTCTGCCTCACTGAAGTCGCAGAAGTGAAATGCCAATGCTTCGTCTCGCTCCTCGAACTTCAGGATTCCTTTGATTACCGATGCCCTACGCAATTTTCATTAGTCATGATTGCGATGGAATACACACGCAGCAACCTACGCAAGTATAGTCTTCCCGCTTCCTGCTACACAGTGAAAGTCAGTATGCCAAGAGCAAAATCCAATCAGACAAGGAAGTGCCGTACGATTGCCATTTATCCACAGGATCCCACTCTGGGATGTATACCATGACTTGAACATTGCGTGTCTGAGCACCCACTGACCGGACCCTCTGACACGCAGATTGAGCGATCGTTGATATTTTTCTTCCGAGTCTAGCGGAGATAGCCATGCGAGCAGGGATTCATACGTGTGTTCTGCGGAGTCGGAGCTTGGTCAGATAACTGAGGCGTCATGATTTTGCCTACTCACCCTCTTCGCGCCGAAGAGCCTGTACTTCCACTCGCCTTTGCTCGTCTCTCACATCATTGACGGTCTGTCGTGTCTCCTGTGTGTGCGCATGTATATGCGAAACCTGCTCGCTGGTAGTGCATGATCAGTAGGACAGTTCACGGAACGGAACACGAACGCTAGTACGAGCTGTAAGGTAGTGTTGAGCTCCGCGGTCACTTTCATCAACATTGCCTTTATCTCATCAGTCTCCCGTTCGTCCAGCGGCCACTTCATGCGCTTGAACGCTTCTCAATTTCCCCTTCCCGCTTAAGGCGTGAGTCAGCCGGTCGTCCAGAGCTTTCAAGGCCTTCAGACTCTGCTTTAGAGGGCCATTGGGGCCAAAAAAGCGCGTCAGCACACTGATGGCATGCTCTGAGAGCCGCTGCTGTTGCAGAGACTGGAATGTGTGCTCGGCGAACTTGAATGTTCCTTGTGTCGTGACCAGCTCCTCCTGTAGCTTCTGCACGGCGCGCGGGGCGTTCTTGACGGATTTGGCATAGAGAAAGAGGTTCTGCAGTGATTTAATAACGAGACCGAGGACATCGAGGCCGGCAGCAGCGGTGGAGAAGGGGTCCATCAGCCAGGCTGCGACCGATACGTAGTCCGAGAGTATATCATTCAGACATGTGCGCTTCGACTATCGGATGGCATGTCAGGTGTCTGCGGATCATGTAGAAGCTTGCGCACTTATCTGGATTCTTAACAAAACGTGTTCGGTGCTAACCGCTCCCTGATCGCGCGTCCGTCCTTGCTGGTGGCTTGCTATGACATTAGACGCGTCCCGCTAACGCGTGTAACGTACTGTAAAGATGCAATTGAGTGCACTGTGTGGCACCGTGAGATTCTCGTTCACGCACCAATGCTCGCCCCCATCCCTGCGATGAGCACTGATGCTAGTATCCAACACTACTGCTGACTTCCAGGAGCATCATCAGAGACTCAACGGGTCGCAGATTGAACGTCAGCAATCCCGTATGTGCCCCACCGCGAGATGCTCACAACGAGCAACTCACTCGTAGGATGTACGGTGTCGGAGAGAAAACGTGCGCGGCGTCGAACCACCACACACTAACGGTATCCTAGTGCGGGCGTAAGGTCGAGTCGGCGAAGGGCGATCGGGCTGGTGATGGAACGGTGAACGATGTTCTGCAGAGAGTAATGGGCCACCTGAATACTATCGAATACTCAGCTGGGCGTCTCAGCTCGACTAGCTCGACTTGAGGTACACGCGCGACCGTCGCGTCGCTCGTCTATGCCGAACCTTGCAGTGCGCGCGAGGGAGAGGGGAGAAGCGAATTAGGGGTACAATTCGATACGACTTGATTTTGATGGGGAGAGCGGGCACGCAACACGACAAGAGCGAGAAGGAACTAAGAAGTGCAGATGACAGAAGGAGACATGAGGGAGGTTGGAAAGGATGAGTGATAAGTGAAAGACGAGCGATCGTTGACAGTTCGGGAAGTAATCTTACCGAATAAGGAAAGCACGGGATGGGACACCCGCCCGGGTGACGACGTACGTTGGTTCCCCTTCCGGCTTCGAACGGCGGACCATTGTCTCGGTGCGGGTCTGGTAGCGGCGAAACGGTGCTATCGACGATCAGAACCTGGGCCCCTGTCGTGCGACACCCTGCTCGACGTCGCCCGCCTTCGCCCTACGGTCGGTCCTCCCCTTCTGCCTACCGGTTCCCCGCGAGCGCGCCAGTAGAGTACGGAGTGCAATAGCTCCAGTATTGCATCGTAAGTGTCTGTGTGCGAGATCATATAAGCTACGGCAGCCGGAAGAGCGAACAAACATAACATAAGATCAGACCCACACCGTTGAGTGATGACATAATCGCACGCTACACGTTGACCTAGCCTTCAGCCGGATTTCCCTTCCACAACGGCGGTACCTAGTACGAGGATAGCAAACATAAGGAGGATAGAAAGTGCATGAGGCGTATCAGAACGCATCTTTGAAGAATATTAGGGTGTACTGCCACTGTGCTTCAAGACGAAGTTGAGGTACTTATGGAAAGCATGCGCGCCAACACAAGACAGCTATATAGCTCGCTGCCGGATACAGTCGCCGCTCGAGTACCCTGGCCCACAACGCATGATGCTTGTCATCGCTCTGGTACACACTCCGAGACAAGAACAACAGCCAATTACCTCGTCGTGATACCCACCTCGCCGCGCGCGCGAGGACTGGTTTACGGACGAACAATCCGTGCGTCGTTAGGTGCTCACAAGCTGACGCCACCGCGTTCTGTTGAGGTACCCGCATAATGCCAGCGTGTTGTTTTTCACGCCATCCTGAGTAACGCCATATGGACGCCTGCTAGGGTTGAATGCCAGGAGACCTGAGGTGTGTGAATGGAAGAAGCGTACCGTTGGTGATTCCAAGATGGCACGTCGGTGGGCCCCAGCTCGAAGAATGGACGTAGGCCTGTCGGAGATCGTATCAACGTGTATGATGTATCGAGATCAGCGACCCCTGTGCGCAAGCGTGCCTGCCGGCCTATAGCCGCGCCAGAGCCACAGGCTTGCAAGGAGGTGGACGAGAAACCGAGGAAGTTCGTCTCACAACTCGCTAGCGTGTCCTACCCCGCAGCAGTACCAAGAGTAAACCACCTTGGGCTTGTTGCATGGTAGGGCCGTCCACTGACTTGACATATTTGGCAACTCCAAACGAGGTAGCGGGCCTCCGGACCGATAAGGTATCCATAAGACAACTGTCCTAAATCGCTACTCGTACAACAACACTCCATCTGCGCACCAGTCGATGAGACCCCCGACATTTGTAAGTACGAGCTCACGCACCAGTTAACATAAGACATCCACAGCACAGGGCGCATACTCCCAATGATCCTACTGCTCGCTGACGAAGACCGCGGCCATGCCCATACCCGACCCGATACACATACTCGTCACGAAAATTTTGCCTCCCGTCTGCTTCGCGATGTTCAGACCCGTCACAATCTGCCTCGCACCAGCTACCGAACACATCCGCAATGAGTAAAGCTGTTCTGAGCACGCATATAGAAACAAACTCGGTACGCACTGCAGCCCAGCGGGTGTCCCAACGCAATCGCGCCACCCCACACGTTCACCTTGCCAAAGTCAATTCCGAGCTCGCGCACGCAGTAGAGCGCCTGGCTCGCGAACGCCTCGTTGATCTCGAAGAAGTCGACGTCCTCCTTCGCAAGCCCCGCCTTCGCGAGCGCCTTCGGGATCGCGTAGAGCGGGCCGACGCCCATGATCCGCGGGGGCACGCCGATCGCGGCCGCGGCGACAAACTTGCCGAGAATGGGGAGCCCGAGGCGCTGCGCGACGGAGCGGCGCGCGAGGATGACCGCGGCGGCGCCGTCGGAGACTTGCGAGGCGTTGCCTGCAGAACCGATAAGCCCTCACCCGTCGTAAGAGGCTCTCGAACAGAGGTACCCACCTGCATGCGTTGACCCATCCTTCGAGAACGCAGGCTTGAGCTTCGCGAGGCTCTCCTTCGTGACGCCATCCCGGACACCGTCATCGTGGTCCACGACCGTCGTGCTCTCCTTCTCAGTCTTGGGGTCGACCCACGGCACGGTAAGGGGCACGATCTCGGGCACGAACCTGCCCTCCTTCTGCGCCTTGGCAGCCTTCTGGAAGGACAAGGCGGCGAAGGCATCCTGGTCGTCGCGCGAGACGTGGAAGTCGTGCGCGACGTTCTCAGAGGTGATGCCCATCGGGATGAGACAGTCCTCTGCCTCTTTGCAGGAGAGCACGGCCTCGGAGAAGCCGTCCGGGTTTGCGCCCGCGCCGTAGCCGAAAGTCATGGATTCGACACCGGCGGCTGTGGGAGGTGGTCAGCGGACGAAGTGCGGAAAGATGCCAGGCTGCTCAGTCTAGTCAGCACTTTGTAGGGATATGCCATTCGTTTTGCTATGGCTCCGTGAGGGTGTGTGAAGCGGTGTTGCGTATCGGAGCAACCAAGAACGGGAATTTTGTCCAGGGCGCGTACTTAGGTGCTCAGGACAGCCCATGCATACACCCTTCCTCGCCATGACCTCCCGTATTCGACTGACTAGACAAGAGCACCCCTAACTAGAGAGGAATGCCACGTACCAAGACCAATGTCAATCTGACCCGACTTGATCTGCGCTGCGATGGTGTTCGTCGCTGCCAAGCCCGACGAACACTGCCTGTTGACCGTGCTAATGGGGGTCGAGAAGGGAATAGCCGCATGTAGCGCCGCCATACGCGCCGTACCGGCGCCGCTGCCAGGCTGGAGGACATTGCCGACTGTGATGTCCTCGATGAGTGCGGGGTCGAGGCCGACCTTGGTGTATGCGGCGCGGAATACACCAGAGAGGATCTCTTCTGGGCGCGTGTCCTTGAAGCCTCCTTTCCTGCCCTAAGCGGCGGGTGAGCAGCGGGATGAGTAAGGACACAGAAGGAGACACACCTTTGTGATAGCTGAGCGGGCAGCGGAGACGATGACGACGTCGTCCGGGTTCTTTGCGAGCACATTGCTCTTGCCAGAGCCAGAGGCGGTAGAGGCGAACTGCGCAGACATGGCGACGGAGATGAGATGGAGGAGGAGAGGGAGATGGCGGGAGGACGAGAGGCGACGGTGTTTTGAGTATTATGACAAGACGCGGCCGGGGAGCGTAATCCCATGCCCGCGTCAGTCGGCCTGCCTTTCACGTGTTTTCGCCCCAACTTACCCCGCATTCCCTTTCTGCCATCCGTGTCACGAGGCACACCCGCGACAAGCTCAGAGCATCCAGAGCAAATCCATCATCGTGTCGAATGTAATGTCAATGATCGGTGGGTCCCATGCCAGTGGCATCATTCGCAAGCACTGCCGTTAAGTACTAGATAAGTTACTTAGAGCCTCGGCGGAGTGAATGCTTTTGAGTGAGACGCTCAGTGGTGAACCGGTGACTTTCCGTAAGCTCACTCTCGGAGTCCTCAGTCCTGCTCATGTGCGGCAGAGTGTGGCATGTGTATGTAGCGACCCGGGGTCCGTTGATTACTGAAGTATCGATCAGGAGCCGGAGGTGAAACCGACTGGCGATCTATGGCCATGGCTTGCTGTGTGCATGACACATGTACTATTTGTGCCGGGGCGACGCGAGAGTATACTAGCTTTGTCACGTCTTTTGCTTCAAGTTGTCCCTAGCAGAGCTGGTGGCCCTTGCGAAAATGCAGAGCGGCCCAATGAACGCACCTTGACATGTGATTCCAACCCGACGGTTCCGAAAACATGAATCACTGCATCGTACTCGGTTCGAGATACTTACCACCGTAGCGCGCTCAATTGTATGTCCCTCAGGCTGTAAGCCACGCAAGCCACGCGACCTTTGTATGCGGTGTGGCCCGCAAGAGTCCTACTTGTGCACATCCAGTGACGCCTCGACCAAAAGCGCCCGCCCCAGCCCACGCCAATATATCTGGTCAGCTTTTGGGCATGCGCCTTGCGGACGGCAGACTGGTGATACTCACCAGTGATCAGTCGCGTCACGGTAGGACGACTCGCCGAAACGTTCACAGCAGGCCGCATGCGTTGTCTTCACCACTAATAAGCCACGACGCAAATGGCAGAACCTTGACATACGTATGTAATGCCACCATTGCTCAGGAGCTCTGTGAGCAGAGCATATAGGTCAATAGGCCTGCCTTCGAGCCGCAACATATGTTAGTCTGACGGGATTTCCCAATGGGCACAGAATACAGATCTAGAATAGGCGTTGCCATTTTGACATCGGACCGTCGATTGGAGAGGATTGTAGGTCGACGTGTGCGTGCTGAGTGCTTGCTTTCCTGTCGGTTTCTAACACTTTCTACTCGTCGACTCCGTCCAGCAAATCTGTTTCAAGCGAAGAACAAGCATCAGTACAGCAGTACGCGAAAAGTGACTGAATCAGGAGAAGTAGCGCAGTACTCTGGAGGAATCACTCCCACTTCGTCCTATGATGTCCTAGATCGTTTTACGGGAGAGTGAAATACATGCTACGAGACTGGCTGCCATGGCCGACGGTAACGATCACCGTCTGCCCAGACACGACTGCCTTTGTGATATTGGACCGCTCTCCCAGCGGCGACCCGGAAACCGCTACCCGCTCTCCTAACCTCGGGAAGCCATGCTCGAGGAAATGCTTCAAGTCGACAGCGCACGTTGACCCGTCGCGGAAAACAATCACAACTAGGAAGTCATCTGCAGTCGGACTGAGGCCGCCGTATTCTACTGGACTACCCTGCACGCCGTGGCTGATCGTCTCCATCCGCCGCTGGCTACCAGTCGCGGGATCGAGGACAACTACGTAATTGAACCTGTCGCTCTTGATACCATCGCCATTGTCGTGCTGTCCGAAGGCGACGATGACGTCCAGCGCAGCGACGTACCGAATGGTGTGCACCGAACCTCCATTGGGCTTCGCGTGCCACCGGATAGTCATGGTCTCCACGTCGATGGCGTAAATCGACGTCTGGCAGGCGGACTGCGTCGCAATCACGTCACCATCCGCCTCATAGACGGCGAGCAAGAATGTCTCCTCGTCCAGAGGCGTGCTGCACGTCGGAAAGATGTCATCGCCGTCCTCGACTCCGACCTCGAGCGTGAAGCTCGCGGCTGGCTCCGGGGACTTCGGAACGTCCGCCCCACGCCAGCATAGGACCTCCATCTTGTCGCCCCATTGCTCGGTGGACGTCGCGAAGATATCGCCGTTCGGCCGGACATGGACGGGCAGCAGCACACCTCCGTTCGTGTTCCTTCGCATCTGCTCGCGAGCCTGGAGGCGTGCAGGAAGGTTGACACTACTAAGGACACCACCATCCCCCACGACGTCGCAGAGCAAGATCTTGGTAATGCCATAGGGCGGGAAGTGTTCCTTATCTTCTTCAATGTTGACCAGGATCTTGCCGTCGGCGTATAGGGGGTAGTCCTCTGCCATGGTGCCGTACAATTCGAGTTTGCGGATGAGCCGACCGTCGACGAGGCTGAAGACGAGGAGGGAAGGTGTGTTATGTTCCCGAGCGCCATCGACGATGATGATGAGGTTGCGGTCGGTGTCAAAGACGGGGTCAAGATGATACGGCATAACTAGTACGAACTGGGCGAGGGCCGCGATATGCTCGAGGTGCCCGTGCGGGCCGCCTGTCCGCCAGATGTCGACACTGGTTTTGCTGAAGATGAGCACATACGGCCCATGGACGTAGAACGCCTCTACGCTGCCCTCGGGAGTCAGGGGCTGTGGGTTGGCCAAAGACATGATGGTAGTCAGCGTGTACGTTTGGCTGAACAGAGAGCGTCAGCCTGATCATACGTGAACTTAATACAGCGTCTCACCTTCTGCGAGAATCAAGCAAGACAGATCAGTCGTAGTTAGAGGTGCGTTCGATCACTTTTGCGGCGCAGAGCAGTTATGACCTCTTGAAGAGACTATATACCTAGCCTGTATTGCACAGCCCCATTGCAGACATCTTGATCGGCGTCGTCAACAGCTGCTGCGACGTGTATGATGGATCGCACGACGTACGATGTGTTCTCTCATAACCTCTGCGAAGTACCTCCGGGAGCGCGGGCTTGAGATGACCGCCAACGACTTCCTGTAACGATTGGATGCGGGGGACTCGGTGATTGTTGGCTTCGGTTGCTTTCGATCCGAAATTGCAGTATGACGACCGATGCGGCATATAGCGAGTGCTTCATCCAGTCCTCAAGGCTTGGAAGACAGAGACGACTTTGGGTGCCAGTAAGCGATCGCAACTGTTTGGTTCTTGGGTGCGTCCTATGTCCGTTGTTGCGATTCAGCAGTAGTAAGTGCGAAACCTCTGGTCCCAGCACAATTTGTACATGTAACCTCTTGCATATGCTCCCTCCTGTGTTCGCTCCGTGACGTACGATCATGTATGTATCATCTCACTCTGCCATCCTAGTAGATCGAATTGCGAGATCTGTTCCGCGACCATAAGAGCTTAGCAGTGTGTAGAACGATATTTCTCTTGCTCGAGTCACGCTCTGACCGTCAATATGTCAGTACCGCTACATATCCGTACAGAATCCAGCGCACCTACCCACACCGCGGTCTACTCTCCCTGATATCGACATGTCTCTGAACATCCTTGGTTCAGAGATATAATCGACGAGTGAAGCGTAGTAACGGCACTGTTGTAGGTAACTGGTCAGCGGCGATCCCGAGATGGCGCGAGACAACATGATCAGCTCACGGGATACTAATCCGGCGCAGAACCCCACGATCCAACCATGGCGCAAAGAGCGCCTTGGCGTGACACTCGACTGCAGACATCATTGCACTGGCGCCCGCCGATTCAGTCTTGGTAGAGAATGCGATGTGTACGCTGTCTTCGGCGAAATGGTCGAAAATTGGGCGCGAGACAAGGGCATGGAATGCAGACATAGAATCGGGGGTGTCTTTCGATACAAGCAGTTTGTCTTGTGCATCTTGGGATGACGAGGGCGGAGTCAGCCTAATCTCGATGCGGATCCACCATAGGTACGGACTCGTAACGTCGGCTAAGATATTGCTGAGGATGCTTTCGATCCTCTGCGCGGTCGCCTCGCCAAGGTGCAGCGTCACTAATAGCTTTCCTAGTGATTTATTGTTCATTAGTTGCGGTATGACGTTCGCATCTACAACACATCGAGTCAGCGACGTCAGCTATCTGTTGTCAAAAAATCATACCGTTCTCTACGTGGCACTCCCACTCGAACTTCGATAGCCTGTTCCCGCACCGGCGCAGAACCTCCGTGGCGCCCAGAAGCAGTTCCGCAGAGTGTCCACTTGTGAGTTTAATACTCAAGTCTCGTAGTTCACTACATGCCCTCGGGGCAGCAATGAACGCCAGAAGCTGTGACGCGGCCTTCGCAGTGATGTGTTCCATGCCGAAATCCCGCAGAGAGCAATCAAGTGCAGGGACTGTTTCTCTAGGGGCCGTGCCATCCGGAAGAAGCTGCAGGTCACCAGCAAAGGAGTGGTGCGCAGTCAATCTCGACAGACGGTCAAAATGACGCAAGAATCGCCTGAGTTGCGAGAGCGAAGAGAAGAACCCCAAATCCAGTACGAGGTCTGTGACGGATGTGTACGCCGTACACATATTGAGCAGATTTCCATCGGAAGAGGGCGTGCCAAGACGTGATGCGGGAAACAACATCATTTGTTTGAGTGCGCCGGCGCGAAGCGGTTCCGTGGATTCGAGGTGGACATTGGGAGGAGGATCCCGAAAAATGACAAATAAGAGCGTCAGACGCTCGAGCTTTGCCAACGCCTTGATATTTTTCGTAGGTCAAGTGTGCTGCGAAAGCGGCAGCTCGTGAGCTCTAGGGACGTAACGCTTATGGCGGCCCGTTTGTGGAAATAATCGGATCGCACGAAATGTAATAGTACCTACGAAAAGTATAATAAATGCACGAAATGTGCAATCACGAAAAGTTTGGAACCACTCACGAAAAGTTTGGATGATCACGAAACTCGGAAGGGTACACGAAATGTATGCTCACGAAAGTCGGCTTGCATGAATCAGTGCGCGCGCAGTGTGACGCGAGTGTGATCGAGTGACCGTTTGTCACCAAGTGTGACACGTGAGTGCGTGGCCTTAGCCCGCCTCCGGCACTCAGCTTCGAATTGTAGCGGCCAAGATTTTTTAGGTACATTCAAAACACATAAAACACGCGTCTCGCGCACAGAAACATCCTGGGGAAGTCGCTCTTCCGCCACGAGTTGAATAAACTTGACATCGCACTCGCGCGCCACCGCGCCACCGCGCCGGCGCTTGTGGCTACGGCGACGTGCCCGAGCCCTCATGTGACCGTGTTCGATGTTGAACGCGTCGCGTCGGTCTGCTCGCGTCCTCGTCTGAACGTGGTTTATTGCTGGTACAAGGTAAGTACTTGATTGTAGTTGTATTCAGTAATTACTTACACATGTCTGTGGGCTTCAAGCCTTTCAAGGCTAATATCGCACACGCCTTCGGGTCGTACGACAAGCTGCTACAGCCCGCTCGTCGACTTCGTCACGCTACATCTCGCTCCCGAACGGGCAGCACGGCAAGTGGGCGATCAAGGCGCTCGAGAAGGGCAAGCACGTCCTCCTCGAGAAGGCCTTCGCCGCTAACGATGCGGAGGCGCGCCGCGTCATCGAGACCGCGCAGCGCACGTAATGGAGGCGTTCCACTGGCAGTGCCACCCCGCCGCACACGCGTTCAAGGACGTCGTGTCAAAGGTGTGTCTGCCCTCCCTTCTCTCTCCCTTATGTTTACCAGCCTGCAGCACGACAAGGTCCTGCAGACACACGCAATCATGACCTCGCCCGTCTGCTCGATCCCCGCGTCGGACATCCGCTGGCAGTTCGACCTCGCGGGCGGCGCGCTGATGGACGTGACGTACGTCCTCTCGAGCACGCGCTTCGCGCTCGACGCGGGTGCCCCCTTGTGCGTCAAGTCCGCGCACACGCGGCCGTCGCCATGGGATGAGCGTGTCGACGAGGCGATGGACACGACGCTCGTGTACCGTGAGGGCTCCGCGGAGGGCGCAGAGGGTGAGTACAACGTCGAGGCGACGGTGTATGCGGATATGCGCCGCGCGAACGTCGCCGGGCTCGTTCCGCGCGTGTGGGAGCTCCCTACGATCGAGGTCGAGACGGAGCGTGCACTCGTGACGCTCTATAACTTCACGATGCCCCACCGCGTAGTACGTGCCCCGCTCGTCTGAGAGAGGGTCCCGGCGCTGACGGCTATGGCACTAACAGCTGTACCACTACATCGCGACAAAGGACAAGGCGACGGGCGAGACGCGGTACGAGACGCACTACCTTGAAGTACTCCGGGAAGAGCATCAGTAGAAGTCCGATTTTGCTAACCGTTGCTAACCGTTGCTGACACGCTGACGGATGCTAACGCTAAAGCGTTACAAACCGTCAGCGTGTCACTCAATGCTCACATCCGTCAGTCGTTAGCAAAATTCTGCTAACGGCTTGTGACGGCTGCTGACAGTGTTACTGAGGTCTGACGGAATTTTCGTGTACCAGGGCTTGCATGTCTACGAACCATAGCATAACCATATTGTACATGATATCTCAGGCTAGCTGTCTACTTAGTGCTGTCTTTGAGCTTCCGCTTCAGGCTCGCATCGAAGAACATCACCGCCAGTGTTGGCGGTGAACCGCAGGTTTACCTACCGCGGGGTTACTTTTGGGGGTTGGCGCGTCTACACCTGCCCCCGCCGTTCTCTCGCCCTCCTCCCCATTTGTCCGCTCGCGCTCGCGCGTTCCGACCCTCCCCGCCCACTCCCTCTCGCGCCCGCCCGTTTTTGCCGCGTCCCGGCCCTGCCCACCGCTGATGACCCGTTCGTGCGCCCGTTCTTCCATCACGCACGCGCGGTCCGTTTGTCGGTCGCGTTTGCGTACTGGGCATTCGCCCGACGCGCTCGTCATCGCCATGCGAGTCGTCGTCGCCTGCGTGTGCCCGCCTGCCTGCGTGTGCATTCGTCGGCCACGTTTGCGTGGTAGGCATTCGCCTTCCGCGCTCGCAGTCGGCGTGTTTTGCGCGCGCCCCAGCCCTCCCCAACGTCGCCGTCGCCGGTCTTTTGCTCACGCACGTGGGGTCCGTTCGTCGGCCGTGCTTGCGTGCTGGGCATTCGCCCAGTGCACTCGCAGTCGGCGTGTGTGCCATCGCCCGTAGCTTGCCCGTGTTCCGCGCGGCGGGGGTACACTTTTCGGTTGCACTCCGACCATGCTGGGTCTTTGTCCGGTGTACCCGTGGTCGCTGGTGCTCATGTTGTATCTGTCGGCTATGTTTGCACGTGCAGCATTTGCCCGCGTGCTCGTCATCGCCGTGTGCTCGCGTGTCATCGCGCTCGAGACTGGAGGGCAGGGCTTGTACTCACCTGTCCTCGCCCTACAGCTAGCCCCATCGCCTTGTGGCGCTTCCGAACGCCCTTCTTGCAGGCCGCGGTGGTATTTGCACCGGTGTGGAGGATGACACGCCTTGCACGACGGGTCTGCACGCGCACACACCACACCAGGCAGCGTCTTTACCCTATGATGAATGGGTAGCGGACGTGGTGGAATAACCCATTCCATCTAGCCAGCCAATGCCGGCCGATGTCACCTGTGGACGGTGGTTCGCCTCCACGGCCATTGGCGGTGCATTCCGTCTCACACCGCTGGACGGTAGCGGGACGCCGGTTGGCGGCGGTGGCCGCCTATAATGATGTAGGCCGTGTATGATGGTGGTGGCTATCTACCATTACGGCATTGGGGCCAGCAGATGGTAGGCCCAGCTATTGGGATTGGCGAGCTGATGATCATCTCGGGTTCATGAGGGGTGCACTGACCTCTGCTATGTTGCCGAAGGGTATCGAATGTTCAAGATTTAGAATGGCTTTCAAAGGCGAGGATCGCCTCGGGTATATATAAGAGCGCTGTAACATTCGCGGATGACAAGGTTTGTGTACCCTCATTGCATGCACTCCGTCTCTTGTCTAGGCGTGTAACGGCCTCAGCAGGCCAATCGTCTTCCAATTTTGAAGAGATTGGCCTGTTCAGGCTGTTATATGCGAGCACCGTCTACACTCCCCTCTCGTCTCGTCTCGTCTCTTTCTCCGTCTCTGAATGAGTGGAGGGCAATACCGTCCCTGCATCCATTCAATTTTCCTGGACGTCATCCAGGAGAGAAGAGACCGGGTAAATTTAGTCACGGATGACTCGTCGAAGAATTTCTACACTTGCATGAGGCAGCCTCGCACAAGCCGTTGTGCCAATTCCAGCCGTCCGCGACAGGGACGGATGTAATCCACTCACCATTGGAGCGACTTGTTTGCAACAGACGGTGGACGGCGACTGCAGGTGGATGTGGGTTTTCGACATAGCAAACTGGGCAGGGCCCTTGTACAATAATTGCAGGCGATGGAAGTACATGTACAGTGCTACGTCAGGAACCTTCGTCACGCTGGCCCACCTCTTCCGTTCCAATAGTCGGATGCCGCTTCGGTATTGTCAAAGTTTTCAGACGGCTCCCATGTCGTGTCGTCCCAACCCGTCCATCGAATCTCATAAAGAAGCGAAGTACCTACGTATCCATGACTGACGATTGCCTCGAACTCATACTGCTCGACGCCGTTGACGGTTGCAATCGGCCCTTGGTTTTGCTGGGGTGGACCGTCCTCAAAGGCGGTGCTCTCCATAATCCATACACCTGACTGCAGGTCAGCAGAGGTGTGAAGAAGCGTCAGAAGCATACCTTGGCCTGTCGCACTGAATGTAAGGCCTTGAATCCAGGCGCCGTCGCTCAGCTGAGCCTGAAAGGCCAAATGATGAGCGGTCTTAGACGGTATCAGAGAAGCGGCTTACCATGAAACGACGCGGCTTGCGAGGGCGAAGCGAGAGGAGGCGTTCCAGGTTGCATCCGCGTTTGAGCCGGCGGGCAAGGGCGGGATCGATTGCCATGGGTCCACGTTGCGGCAAAGCCATTGGAGTCGGTGCGCGCAGTGGTGCTCGACGCCGCCTCCGACGCATTGGCTGTGCAGGCACTGCGTCGGGCTGTGCAGCCACTGCGTTCCGTCGAGGCAGAGGCGCGATGGCAATGTGTGGTCGGTCCGGAGGGGGCCAAAGATCGTCGGGGACGAGAGGCGGATTTGAACCGCTTGAGCTAGGGCCCGGGATAGGCGGATTCTCTATGTTTCGTCGTCGGAGGGGGTGGACGGTGATGGTCGGGCGGTTGGGAGGAGGTGACGCCCTCTCTGCGGAAACAGATGGAGTCGCACTGTGCTGGTCTGGGGACGCTGGTTGGTTCCCCGCGTTGCGTCGACGCAGCGGGGTGATCGCGATTGTCGGTCGGTCCGGAGGTGGCCATAGCGCCTCTGAGGGAAAAGGCGGAGGCGGTGGAAGAACGGGATTGCGTCGACGGAGAGGCGAAACGACAATGGACGGTCGATCGGCGGCCGGCCATGCGGGGGCGTCTATTGGATGGGCCGGTTGCCGATGCACTCGCCGAAGAGGCGAGATATTGATAGACGGACGAATCGCAGCGAGAGGTGGCAGCGACTCGGACGCAGCCGGGCGAGACGGTGCAGCTGCGGGACCAGCACGCCGCCTCGCTGGGGCCTCTTTAGCGATTCCGCTGCGAAGTCAGTCGAGCAGCTCACCAGACTTGGCCCGTTGCCGTTCAGTGATTGGTCGGCTGGGTGGCATAGACTGCAGCATTGAGGTCAGTGTATCGAAGTCAGTGGAACCGGACTGATGCGATAGAAGCGAAAGACTGACCGGCTTGAGCACGGCAATAGAAGCGAAAGACTGACTGAGGCGACCGGCGGGGAGATGGTTGCAATTCAAGGTCAAGTTGAAGTTGCAAGCGGATTGTCCAGGTCCTGCAAAGGTGGCGTGGGAGCTAGTCACGTGAGTAGATCTGCATAAAATGCCAAGTCCGCCTGCTCTTCTCTTCTCTTTCGTCTATGCCCTCCACCCAATTCAAAAATCCCACAATCACCTTCAACATTTCTAGCCTCTCACTTGCTCGATCACTTGCTCGACATGCCTGCTCACGCCGCCGCCCCCACTGCTCCGTCCGACGTGCCTGGCAAGGGCATCAGCAAGGAGGAGGTTTTGGACGTCGCTGGACGGATCGCCGCCGCTCTGGATGCCCCGGGGCCGGAACGGCCCGCTGCGCAGATGGCGCTCATGACTTTCATTGCACGTAATCGATCTGTCATCCAGATCTATTGACTAATGATCGACTCCAGGAGAGCTATTGGACTAAGGTGGCTGCGTCGGCCGACGACGGCACCCTCTCGGTTCCGCCTCTTATGGCGTCCGCCTATGAGCAGCTCGGCAACCAGCAAGTCGGCTTTCGCATGTCCAACATTCGCGCCGATGACCCGCTCATTGGCGAGGTTATCGACCGGGATTTCATCGTCGACGTCGACTACGGGCAACAGGCAGCCAGAGCGGTGGGATGGTGGAGACGAGGTGCGTTGGAGACGAAGGGCGCGGTCATCTGCTGACTCCATTCAGGTGCAGAGGCATCCAAAGGCGGCCCTTCGTCGGCCGCTCCAACCGCCTCTTCGTCAGCGGCGGCAGGGAGAAGCGACGCGGCCGAGGGTAAGTGCATCCGCGTTGCACCCAGACGAAGCTGACATTTCACAGAGACGATGCCGCCCTCTGCAGTAGAGAAGGGCAAGAAGCGCGTATTCGCTGCGGACGGCGTGACCGCCACCGCCTTGAAGCGAATCCGGACGGAGAAGAAAAAGCCGCCGCCGAAGTCCAAGGCGTACGTAGAAACGTCTGAAGACGACCAGCCGCTGCAAAAGGCGGTCGGCGCGGGGCCCTCCAAGGCATCCATGCAAGCAGCGGCGGCGGCGAGGGCGGCAGGCAGGGCGGCTCAGGACCGGGCAGCGGCGGCGAAGGCGGCGGCGGCGGCGGAGCGTGCGAAGGCGACTAAGCTGGCTGAAGACCAGGCGGCAGAGGCTGCAGAGGCTGCACTCGCCAAGTCGAAGATGGCCAGTGGTGGCAAGCCTGCAGAGCAAAAGACGGCGCGGCCCCAGGCAGCAGGTGAGAAAGGCGCGCAGCAAGAGACGGCAAGCCCGTCGAAGAAAAAAGCCGACCGCACCAAGGCAGGCGGAAAGACGGTCGATGGTCCCCCACCAGAGGCGGTAGAAGATGACGACGACCTCGTGGAGGTCCTCGCTACGGTGAGTGACGATCATATCTGTTGGCAGGCTGTCTGACTGCTTCAGCCTCTGCCATGCGACTCGTGCCGCCATGCGAGGCAAAAGTGCGAGTACCCGGTCAACCCGAAGACCGGCACCACGGCGGGCCGCTGCGGCTTTTGCTCGAAGGACAAGGGCTTCTGCAGCCTCTGCCCACGCAACTTCAAAGGACTTCCGGCCAAGAACGCAGGTGCCGGAAAGATGGCGAGCCTTTGGCGGGAATGGGTCCACAAGCGGATTCGTGCCGGCCTGCCCTACTCGGAGCTCGCCTTCTACGACGACCGCCTCAAAACCGCCGAAAACGTCCACGGCTTCCTGGTCGACCTCGACACTTGGGACGGCCAGAAGGCGCACGTAGACCCCAAGGTGCTGGCCTGGGTCGAGCAGAGACAGCAGGCGATCCGCAAGGGTAAGCGCGTCCCCGCGCTCAAACTGCCCAAGCAGAAGACGATCCTCGTCTCGGACGACGACGGCGAAAAGGCAGAGCAGGGCAAGGCCGCAGTCGCACCACCGGCAGCTCCCGCCCACGACAGTGACGTCGAGATCGTGGAGGCGACGCAGGTGGATCCGCCACAAGAGTCCGGTGCGGGCGAAGAAGAGGAGGAGGCCGAGGACGAAGAAGCGGACGAGGAAGACGACGACGACGACGAGGAAGACGCGGATGGCATGCAAGTCGACGTCGACAGCATGCAGGTAGACGGTCCCCAGGTCAGCCACTCTTTCCCCATCTACCCACCACACTGACTGGAAAGGCACCCCCGTCTTTTCTGGAATTCCAGGCACTCGACGCGCAGGACGGACCCATCGGAGAGACGGCCCCCTCGTCTCTTGAAGTCCCAGCTCCCTCCGTGAGTCACGACGAGTGCAACAAGATGCTCGAATCTCTCGCCCGCCAGCTCCAGGACGAGAGGCAGGAGCGGATGGCCCTGGCAGCCCGGCTGGAGAAGTTGGAGCGGGCTGCGGAAGAGAGGTGGCCTTTCGCCCAGCTGCAGACCCTCCAGCGCGTCACGGAGCGCCTCGAAGACCTCGAGCAGAACGTGTGCGAAAAGGCGGAGGAGATCGAGAGCCTCAATCTCAATCAAAGGGAGATAAGAGGCCACATCGGCTCGGTCAGCAAAATGAGCACCAACCTCGACATTGCCAAGAACGGTGTCCAGGCCGCCATGGATGCCACCCTTCGCCGCGTCACAGACGTCGAGGAAAGGCTCCTGGGCAAGATTGACGAGCTCCACCTCAGGCTCGAGGCTCAGGCCCACCACCTCAAGGTCGAGGCTGAGGACGAACCGGTCGATCTTCAAATCGTCCCGCCGCCGTCCCCACCACGTCCGGTGCCTGAGGCTGGAGACGACCTGGTGGCTGCCATGCCGGCCCTCTCACTCCGGCGCCTTCCCCGCCGCGCGGAGGTTGTCGCTCGCCATAAGCCCCTCTCGCCAGTTCAGGAAGAGCCGGATCGGAGGGTTGGCCCCACCAGGGAGTTCCGGCTCAATCCCGTCAATCCCGCCCCACCCGTCCCGCCGCGGTTCTTCCGTTCTCCCGCCCCGCCTGCCCCCCCTGCCCCGCCCATTCCGTTTGGTACGTCCTTCCGTGCGCTGGGTCGCTACGACACTCCGGCGGCCAGCGAGACGCGATCCCCAGGGCAGATCTCGTCTGGCTCTGAGGCTGCAGACGAAGGATCGGACGTTGACATGGACGAAGGTCTTGACCCATCCGAGTGAGCCCGTGGCGCCGCCTGTATTGTAGTACCGTCGCAATCATATTGGAATGTCATGTACCGTCTTTTCTATTGCAAGCAAAGGTTCGACTCGGGTGCTTTTCAAGCAGGCAGGAATTCCATTGCACAAGAAATGTCAAACTGGCTGCTTTGACAAATGTACGTGCTACTCGTGCAATTTCCCCAGGTTGATTTTCCTCTGACGCTCCCGCGCTTGCTGCCCCCCTCTGCTAAGGCGTTGAGACCGTCTAGACGGCTCCGCCAATGCTCCCATGCCTGGCTGCACTGGAATGGGTGCTGGAGGCTGAACTGGAGGCATGGGAGGCAGCGGCAGAGGTGCTGGCACCGCAAGAGGCGGTGGCGGCATTACCTCAGATGAAGTGGTCGGCGCTGAGGATTTGGCCTGCGGTTCCGTCTCATCAACGTGTCTTCGCTTCTTCATGGAGGGCGTCGCTTCTTCGCTACCGTCTCTATCTTCTGCACGTCTCTTGTGGTCGCGAGACGAACCACTCGTGCCCTGGTTCTCATTGAGGGCAGCATCTTCGCTTGGGACGGCGATCGTCTCCACGGGCAACTCCGTCTCTTCCGTCTCCACCTGAGTCCTTCCGGCTGCTTTCGTCTCTACGGTGAGCGACTCCATTTGTGGGCTTGGTGTGGTCGTCTCTTTGCGAACGTTGCCCGGTTGAGACGGCCCAGCCGCTTCGTCTGGCAGTCGATCGCGGTCTCCGTTTGTCTGTTGGATCCCCAGTCTGGTATGACCCTCGCTCGGCGCTGACACCAAAGAAAGCCCATGAGGCACCGTCTCTGACAGTTCGTGCCGAATGTTCGTCTGTTTGATCACCGATGCCCCGCTACCTTCCGCCTGCTCCGCTTCTGGCAGTCTGTGCTGAATGTTCGTCTGTTTGATCGTCGATGCCTGGTCTAGGTGCACCGAGGGCTGGAGGGATGAGCTGCCCTCGCCCTTTGAGGCACGGGCATCTGCAGCCCGGCGCAATCGCTTCAGCTTCAGAGTGGGTCTGCAAGGTATGTCTTCTCCGTCCCACATCTGGATGGGGTCGGGAGTCTGCTCCACCGATCTTGACTGAGAGACTGGCGAAGGCGGAGTCCAGTTAGGCGCAGCTGAGGCTGAAGGGCCGGAAGGTGGGTGGTCAAGGATTAATAAGCGGGAAATGGGATGGATTGCGTCGAGCAGCTGCTCCGCTGTACTGTGGAAGTCTAGCAGGGTGTTTTGCACGTAGACTGGGACATGGGCAGGCGGTGGCTCGTCTGGATCATTGGCAAATTGGCTGTTGTGAAGGTCACGCAAAGCGAGGCCTACCGCCAGGAGTGCTTGCTCGACATGCTTGAGACTGGCATGATTGTTCCGTTTCCATGGCTCGGTTTGAAGGAATTGGATAAGCCGCGACAGGCCATCCACAGTAGCATGAGGAAGTTCAGGAAGAGACGGTGATGTCCACCCCCAGTCGGCCCAGGGCGCAACAGTGATGGACGATGGCTTGAAAGCTGAGACTCCACCGCCCATGGAGGCACGGATGTATTCGGTAACGACGGCCTTGTAGCGCGAGTCGCTGGACAGAGACGCCAGGAACAGTGATCGTTTCCGTCCCCGGGAGACGTCTTTTGGACATTTGGCCGCAAAGTCGACCAGCATCTCCTGGCCGGCCTGAAAAGCCTGCTCCGGCATCTCAAGTACGCTCTCGTCACTCCCGCTGTGCTGACCGCTCTCGTCGCTTTCTTCGACCTCGCTTGATGGAACAGACTCATCCTCTGAGACCGACGGAGATTCTTCGGAAGACTCGTCTTCAATGGTGACCCGTCTCTTGCCCTTCGCCTTTGTAGACGCAGCCTTGCGGGCCTTCGCTTTAGGGGGCGGTTTGGATGTAGCTGCCGCACTCTTTTTCGGTTTCCGTTTGCGAGCCGCTTTTGATGACGCTGTTTGACAGTCAAAATGGGCAGTCGAGACGCATGCCCTGCATACCTTTGCGATCTTGCTCTTTGCTTGCGGCCTCCGTAGAAGCGGGACTTGCAGGCCCCTCTGCGTTGAACTGCAGTCTCTGGGCGTCGCGCCGTCTCTCCGCCTCCCGAGTTGGTTTCCCGTCGGTCCACTGTTGGAAATATTCGTCATACATGGCACTGGTCAGGTCGCCAGTGCGGTCGATGAAGCTGTGAAACTGGAACGCCTTCACTCCGTCGGGCCCATCCTGTCCAGTCCTCCAATGCCGGCAGAGGGCAATCATCTGCTCCCGTCTCATATGCGATGGATCGGCAAATCCGACGTCGGGCAACCACATCTCCTCACTGAGGCACGTAGCTCGAGTCTGTAGAGCTTTCCAGGGTATACGCGAAACCGTTCCATTGCTGGCAGCCACTGTGGAAACATTAAGCACCACAGATCAAGAGAAACCAGAGTCGCTTACAGTACTGCCTGGTAAGGAACTCCCTCACAATGGCGGCCCATTTCTGAACAACCCCGCTGGCGGCCAGTGAGTCGAGCTCGTCACCACTGAGCATCAGTGGCAGACCGGTCTCTTCGTCTATGGAAAGAAGCGGTCCGAAGTCCGTCTTCTTTTGGGCTTTGCTGGGTTTGCCAGCTTTCCCAGTCCCGTCCACCACCATTGCTTTTTTCTGCAGCTGGGTCGTCGACCACTCTCCGAACTCGTCCCATAGAGATGACCAGAGTTTGTTTTTCATGACACCGTCGGAGAAATTGGACGACGCTCCATGCTCCCCTTGATGGTCGATTCTAGACGACAGATCAGATACCGTCTGTTCGGCATGACGCATCACCTACAATCCGACTACAGGGCCCTCGTCTGTTGTCTGTGCTGCATACATCACCACGCAATATGCACCGTTCTCAATTAGCGCCTTCCGCTCAAAGCTCCGGCACAAAACCCCCAGGGAATTGCTCAATGACCTGGCTCCGTTCAGTCTGAATGAACGTGGAGAAGCGACGAAGAAACGTACTGGGCAGGAAGAACACGGGGCGCTATCTTACATCCGTCAGCATTCACCAAGGCCCGCAGCTCCTTCCCCTTCGCTTTATACTCCTTTCGTACTTCTTCATCCTCGTCTCCCCACAGGTCCCACCACGTGCGGTTAAACCTGTTCAACGGGTCGCTAGTACCGTCTGCATAGGCCTCCCTTCGGACCTCCTCCATGTGCTCATCAAGCCACAAGTCGCACCCCCGTATCGTCCCTTTCATGACGCCTGTTTGCTTCGTCTTTTCCTTGCGTATAGAGCAACGATCCACTAGCCACTTCCGAACAGCCTGGAGGAAACATGAGCCCACCCCACGATGATTCGGCCAATGCGACCGACCGTCGTCCTAGCTTCTGGGGTGAGACCTTCCAGTTGTCCCAGCGCCACCTGCTCCAAGAGGCCCAAGGTGGCTGCAACGACTTCGTCTCGCTTCGCCCCTGCAGTCTCGCGGAATCGCTTGACGGATCCTTCCAAAATTTTGGTCTGTGCATCATCCCAGGGAGCCATTTGTGCAGAGGAGGGGGTCGAGTTGCTGGTTGCGTGCAAAGGGGGCCAGCGCACACAGCGCCAAAAGAGGGCGCTGCCGTTGCCATCACCAGGAAATGCGCATGTAATGTCTTTCCACTTAGCCGACCCGCTCCCGTTTGAGTCAGGCTCCGTGAGATGTCTGAGCTAACCCATTTTGGCCATCCGACATCAGGAAACTCAGCCGATCGGTCTTCCATTGGTCTTCGATCGCGCATGGGAACGTCGGCATTCTATGACTCCCTTCACTAAGCGCGTCATTATGACTGGATCTCAGATCACACACACGATCGGAAAGGCAATCTGGCCGATCTAAAGTAGCCTCCGTGCTGAGAGAAGCTTTTGCTCTTTGCTCTCAACCACCACCGTCGTCAGAATTAGCAGTCCCATACAAGCCCATCTCAATGGAACACCTCCCAAGTATGACTGTGCACTTCATTACTTACTAGACGATCCCAACTGACAAACTGGCAGCTTCCAGATACATTGAGGTCGTCAACGCGGTGCTTCGCCGAGAGACCATGATTGCCTACCGGAGGCTGCAAGAACGAGAAGGCCAGCAGGTTTTCCCTATGCCTCCACCTAGCAAGTCTTACCTGCCGGCGCTGTTGTCTCCGTCTATTGTGGCGGATTGTGCTTATGCCGCCAATGTGATCGCTGAGGCTATTGTTTCACCCAGTTAGTACTTCATTCGTCACGCTTGTACGTCTGTCACAGCATTCTACAGTCTGGTCGGACATGGATGCTGCAAGGTATAGCGACCGTCTCAATAGGCTCCGAGACCGTATCATTCTTGACGATGTGCAATTGCACGAATTCGGACCGACGGCTGGATCTGGCAATGAGCCGCATGAGCCGCACACGTCCCCATTCGTTGTCGTTGACAAGTTTGGGAGGATCATTCTGTGGTATCTTCCCGACATATTGAGTTCTATGCAACAGGTACGTCTACTCATCGTCCGCCACTTCCTCAGATCATTCATCGAGCATCAGAAGCAAATGACCAAAGCACTGTCTACGGTGCGTCGCCAGTTCAAACAAAATGCACCACAGTCTGCTCAAAGGAAGCAAAAGCCCAGCTGGCGTCGCCTAGAAACCAATTTCCGCGAGACGCCGGTGTCTGACGGCTCGGTGCTCAATGGAACACCAACCTTTGCACCGGCATGGTACCCAGTTGGATCGAAGGTGAGCATGTCGGCGGGATTACCCTGATATAATTACTCAGTGATGCCTTGGAGACTGGTCGCGAGCCCCCCACTTCATCGGCGACCCTCACTAATGAGAACAAGGAGTGCGGCTACCAGTTTCTCGACGAGATAAAGTCAACCACGGCTCTCATCATGGCAATTGTCGGCGTCATACACCCAGCACAGTGCGAAATAGGCCTGTCCACCAACTCGCGACTTGCAGACCAGGACGAGGGACTCAAGAACGTCTTCACTCACTGGCCATCCTGCTTCTCAGCAGTGCAGGTCATCAGCAATCGCGTGAGCCCTGTGCATCTGGACGTCGGCGCATCCTACGGCTCTTTCGATGTTCTTGCGACGGTCGGAAAGTTCAGTGGTGGCCACATTCAATTCCCCACCTTGTCCATCGATGTCGACCAACGAGCAGGCAGTGTAGTCGCCTTTGCTGCACACCTTCTACCCCACTCAGTGGCGGAATTCGAAGGCGACCGTGTATCTTTTGCATGGTTCCTCAAAGACGCAGTTGGTTCCTGGGCAGGCATGGAGCCGGTCCCGTGGTGCAAGACTGAGGACGTTAACAATGTCCTTGCGACTGCATAGCTGCTCGTCTGTCGATCCAAAACCGCCTCTCCGTCACTGTATTAATTTGGTGCTCCTGCCGCGCCTCAATCGATATCCATTGCATCGCTTCTGGGCATCTGTACCGTCCGGACTATAGGAGTCATTCCTGGTAACGAAGTGAAAGAGACGTGTGCCTCGTCCCCTAGCGTACGCCAATGCGCTTGCTGACGCATGGCGTATGAGCGGTGGCCTAGACTGCCATGAACGAGGCCATTCCACCGCGCAGCATGGAAGTCAAAAGAGCGGATGGTCCGCTTCATCTCCTCTTTCACCAACGACACTTGCTCATCCCATCTGTCGTGCCTCGCCTTTTCCCGCAACCAGTTGACGCGATGAACTGACGAACGTCAGCAAGTAGATGCGAGCCGAGTGGAAAGACGCTTACGTTCTGCAAGCCACTCTGAATTCTCAGTGTCTCCTCCGACGTCGACCGACCATATCCACGACAGCTCTTTCTTACTCGCGTTGCGCTCCGTGTGATCGACGAGATGTGTTGCTGCATTCAAATCCTCCTTGTGCAATGGCCTGTATTTTCTCATCAGTGGGGGCAGCGTCTGCAAGAAAAGGCGAAAAGCAGATTGCCTCGCCTCGTCTGAGGGCTGCAGATGTCGAATGAGCGAGATCACGGCCATGTCCATGGGTCATCCTTACCTGAGGTACCTGCTTGCCCTTCGCTGCAGGCCCGGCTGTCTGCTTTGCGATCGCCACCGCCTCTTTCTTGGCTGTGCGGAATTCATTGAACCGCTTCTCCATCGCCTCGCCCTCTGCTGCCGTCATTACAAGCGGTATCATGTTCCTGCGAGCAAGTGTGAAGACCCGTGAGCACTCAAGGATGACCTTCTCCACATTCTGGGCTTCCTTGAATGCACGTGTTTGCGTCCGCTGGCTGTTGGCCGGCCGCACCTGGGTTACATAGACCATCGATTTGAGGCCAATTGCCATGCGAAGCCTGTGCAGAGCGTCGTTGGCTTGCCCTTCACGGAGGCGGAGCTCCTGCTCGCCAAGTCGCCGCTTGTTCATCGTTGCCAATTTCTCGTGCCCAATGGTCGAGGGCAGCCGCAGCGGAATGCTCTCTGGCTGCGTCTCATCGTCTGGATCCTCCAGGACTACCAAGTCATCCGTCACATCCGGATCCTCATCCATGTCTTCCCAGTCATCACCAGCATAGGCTCGCTCTTCTTCATCGTCCGTCTCTTCGTCATCGTTGTCAGAGTCCACACCGTCTTTCCAGAAGCTGGAGGCCTGCTTGGCAAAACTGTCGATGGCACGCTGCAGCCTGTTTCGCTTGTTGACTAATTGCAACTGCGCCGTGAGAAGCGAGTCGCTATTGACGCGCCTCGCCAATGCAGCAACGGTCAGTCTGATGCATGGTGAGGATAGCGACGCATCCTAAAGGAGGCTGCGTACTGCTGCTCCTGGAGAGCCAAACCCTCCGCCAGCCAGGATGCGAGGCCAGCATTCGTCTTCGTCCTTCCTTCTTCCTGCTCTAAGAGAAGCTGAATGTCTCTTTTTCCGGGTGCTGGAGTGCCAATGAATGAGCAGATGCAGTGAGGCGGAAGCGGACGGTACCTTTGGTTCGCATAACCTCGTATGGCTCCATGACGCTCAAATCGTCACGCCTCTCCGCGCGCGCTTTTGCCTCCAGCCGCTTCCATTCGGCCAGGTGCTCGGGACTGCTCGAGAGCTCCATATGATTGAGCGTCTCCTTGCTCCGTGCCAATTCCTTTACCGCCTGTAAGAATCGCTTTGATAGCATCTTGACTGCAATGGCAGTCAATTGCCGCTTCTAGGCCTCACAGTGGCCAGACTCACCCATGCCAGTCGTCTTCCGCCAGTTTGAATCGTTCATATGGTCGTCTATCACCTCCTTCCGATGGGACGTCGACATCGCTCGGGTGCTGCCTGAAATCCGGTTCAGAGGAGCCCACAACGTCTCTATGACCTCGCCATCGACTAGGCCTGCTCCTGGAATGAAGCTTGGCGAATACTTCACCAGGCAATCCCGCTGATGCCCGTGGACGTGGAATTTGCCAATTCCCCAGTCGATTGTCGCGGATGGCCATTTCAGGAATCGCGGGCTGCTCTTGAACCGGCCCTTCACTTTCTTGCTGTATTGACAGGAGACATCGTACATGACCAGGAAACGCTTGAGTCCGTCATGATGCTGCATCGCTTGTGAGACGCCATATGCTTCCAGCTGCACGGTGGCACTAAGGCTCTAGCCGCTTCTTCGAGATCGCCACTCACGAATCAACGTCTCTTTCCCAGTCTGCTTCGAGATTGACGCCGGGGTGAGGGCAGGCTACGCAGCTCAGTGCCAGTCTTCCCGGTCCAAGTTCTTCTTCTGTATGCCCATACCCACGCCATTTGCGATATTTGAGATTGCGCCACTGTCGGCTGCAGCGGAGAAGCTCGCGATAGCGATCCTGGGAGGCGTCAGACTGCTGCCTCGTAGGATGATGGACGACGAACCGGCACTCGCTGAGGAAAGGCGGCATTGGATAGGCGACGCAACCGTTCGAAGTAGCTCTGAGCTGCCATTCCAGAAACTTTGTTGGCCAGCAGGAAATCGTCCAAGACGCGGAACGTGAAGCAAGTTCGAGGGCGGATGAAAGATCCAGGATATAGACCCATCGAGAGCAGCTGGAAGGCCTCCGGATCCGCCCCTTGGCATTTGCACATGGCGGCGCAGACTGAATGGACGCCAGTGATATCAACCACCGTCAGCTTCCGCAGCGAAGCATCATCTTCAATTGGACACCGCCAGTTCCCATGCCCAAGGTTGATGCGCAGACCAGCGGCAAGTAGTGAGCTGGCCTTGAAATAACCTGTCCTGGCAATGAGAGACGTCATCGTCAATAAGACGAGAGACTTCCGTCTAACCTTCCATTGATGGGTCGCCTCCCTGTCCGGCCCCAAATTCTGGTTCATCGACCCAGTCTTCCGCTTCTTCTGACGGCGCCTCTTCACTATCCGCTTCTATGATTTCGGCGCGAACTGGAGGCGGGCCTGTTGGGACCGTTCGTCTCTCCCTCGGTTCCCACCGCTCCAGGTGGTGAAGATATTCGGCACTGTGCCGACTCAGACAGCAATCGGTGCACAGGCTTGGCCGGCCCACGCAGTCCACGCATCTCCATGGACTCCACTCCTGGCTGCACATGACACATCTTCGTCTATCTTGCGGCCCTTCCAGTTCGAGCAGGCGGGCAAGCACCTGGTCACGGACTGGCAACCATTGTCGGATAAAGTCGGCCTGAGTCTGCACTGGCATCAGCAACTGCTTCAGCCATCCCAGCCACTCACCATTCCAGATGCCTTCGTCTTTCGCCGGCTCTCTGGCCCCAACTGAATAATCTCCCCCAAGTCAGGCATGGGCTGGTCATTCCCTAGGTCCGAAATCTCTGCGGCTGCTGTTGCCCTGGATGCACCTGCAGGGGGATGCACAGCGCTCGGGGCATCCCGGACTGGAACCATCTTGTGCCTTGTTCCGGTCTTCGTCTTTTTGACAGCCATGTGCATCACCGTTGGCCTCTGCGTTGAGCCCGAGCCCATTCAGCGGAATGGCCGATGCTGTTAGGGTAGCGGATGCGTGAAAAACCCCAATGTATTCGGCGAGCTGACGTCGGCCGAGCGGGGCGTTTTCATTAACGGGATGGGCGAATAGGCGCCTTGGGTTGGTGATGGGCGGATGACTGGGCGATAAACGGTAGCAGGGTGCCGTTTCTTTTTGCAGTGCATTGTTGGGATAGGCGGTCGGATGGTTGGCCTGACCAATGGCCATGTAGTCGGCCGAGCACGTAAGAGCGAGTGCATTTAAGAGCGAGTACCTTTAAGAGCGAGTGCCTTTTATTGTCGGGTGGCATTGGCCATGGGCCAGCGGACCGTCGGATGACATTGATAGTTGTGCGTTCCAGTATTGGATGGGCGGGCGGACTGTTGGCCCGCCCAATGACCATGGGCGAACCAACGTCGGCTGATATGGTATTGACGGTTGGGCTCAACGATGGGCGGGCGGACTGTTGGCCCCCCCAATGACCATGGGCGAACCAACGTCCGCTGATATGGTATTGACGGTTGGGCTCAACGATGGGCGGGCGGACTGTTGGCCCCCCCAATGACCATGGGCGAACCAACGTCCGCTGATATGGTATTGACGGTTGGGCTCAACGATGGGCCGGCGGACCGTTGGCCCGCCCAATGACCATGGGCGAACCAACGTCGGCTGATACGGTATGAACAGTTGGGCTCAAACGATGGGCGGGCCGACCGTTGGCCCGCCCAATGACCATTGGCCTGGCTCCTAGAAATGCAGTGGGGCGACCTAAGGGCGAGTGCATTTCGTGCAATGCCTGGGGTGCTTGGCCAATTGCATGCGACCCGCTTGTGAGCAACCATCCGCTTGTACGTGGTCTGCTTCTAGGCATCCGCTTATGCCTGGTCCGCTTATGCCTGGCCCGCTTATGCCTGGCCCGCTTATGCCTGGCCCGCTTATGCCTGGCCCGCTTATGCCTGGTCCGCTTATAGATGTCCGCTTGTAGGTGGCCCGCCCAGCATGCGCAGGGACAGGGGGAGAGGGAGGTACGGGACGGTCGAGCTCAGGATGTACCTAGGTCTACATAGGGCTCCGCCCTCAGTGACCCTAAAGGGACGAAACAAACAAACAAACAAGGTGGCCCACTTGTTGGGTGTCCCATGTCACCTGGAGACGTCAGAGCGGCGGAAAGACTGTTTGGCTCTCAATATGTTCCCCTTCATCGGCGTCGATTATGAAGACATGTGGGCAATTGACGCTGCTACAGCCCTGAAGAGGGCAACATGTTGTTCCAAATCTCACTGAACGGTGCATTCCCCTTCAACTGTCCAAGTGCCTGCATGTTCAGTACCGATGAACGGAAAACATATCGGCTCTCGATATGTTCCCGTTCATCGGCGTCGATTATGAAGACATGTGGGCAATTGACGCTGCTACAGCCCTGAAGAGGGCAACACATCGTTCCAAATCTCACTGAACGGTGCATTACCCCTTCAACTGTCCAAGTGCCTGCATGTTCAATACCGAGGTAGGGAAAACATATCGGCTCTCGAGATGTTCCCCTTCCTCGGCATAGAATGTGAAGACGCATGGCCAGCTACAGTCCTGGAGAGGGCAACACGTCGTTCCAAATCTCCCTGAACGGTGCATTCCCCTTCAACTGTCCAAGTGCCTGCACGTTCTATACCGAGAAAGGGAAAATGTTCCCATTTCTCGGCATAGAATGTGAAGACGCATGGCCAGCTACAGCCCTGGAGAGGGCAACACGTCGTTCCAAATCTCCCTGAACGGTGCTTTCACCTTCAACTGTCCAAGTGCCTGCATGTTCAGTACCGAGATATGGAAAACATATCGAGAGATCGACTCTCAATATGTTCCCATATCTCGGTATTGAATGTGAAGACGGATGGCCAGCTACAGCCCTGGAGAGGGAGCGGGGAAAGAGACGGCACACAAGGCATGTCGTTCGCAAATCTGTCGGCCCTTCTTATATACGCGAGACGATCCTCGCCTTTGTAAGCCTTTCTATATATACGCGAGGCGATCCTCGCCTTTGTAAGCCTTTCTATATATACGCGAGGCCAACCTCGCCTTTGTAAGCCTTTCTATATTTACCCGAGGCCAACCTCGCCTTTGTAAGCCTTTCTATATTTACCCGAGGCCAACCTCGCCTTTGTAAGCCATTCCATACATTGGACATTCTATAACCTTCGGCGACATAGGATGTAAATGAAGCTCTTGTTGGGTTCCGCTTGTAGGTGGCCCGCTCGTTGCTGGTCTCCCCGTTGCTGGCACGCTTGTTGCTGGCCCGCTTGTTGGCAGTCCGCGTGTTTCTGGTGCGCCGGTCCGCCATCTACATGGCGACTTGAAAGATCAAAGCAGCGTAAAGACCAGGCCACAGACTTTCGCTTCTTCACCTTTTGCTTCTTGACAGAATGCATCAGGCGGGTTGCTCGGGTTGCATCTCGATGCCGTCACTGACGTGCAGAGAAGCTGAGGCTATATGGTAATGGGTCTGCCATTGTACGGTCAAATTTATCTCAGTTTCAATTGCCTTGGGGTGGCACAAACCTTATGTACATGCATCTCAACAACGAACAACCAACCCACCATGTGCAACCGCGACTCCTATGTTTGGCACGACAACCTTTACGTGCTGTTCCAACTCCTCCAACTGTCAGTAGAAGCCATTCAGCCCTGGTTCAAGGGCTTTGACGAAGTGGAGGAAAATGATATGTAGGCGGTTCTATTGACTTGCATGCACAAACTGACATATCACTACAGCCTTGACCATAGGGTCATGCTCGTACATATGGTGGGCCAGCACGTGCTCCGAAAGGAAGTCATCACGAAGGACGGCAAGCGCCGCACGTGGACCCTCTACGCCCAGGCCTCTCCCGTCCAAGATGAATATGTCTTGCGTTGGCTTGTCGCCCTCGTGAACGACAATAAGTCTCAGCACGCCGATCCATCTGGAGACGAAAGGCTTGCCAGTGGCTCCATGCAGTGGCTTAGCGACCTCGTCAATGAAAATGACGATGAAGACGGTGCCAGCGGCAGTGAGGACGGTGAAGACAATGCCAGCGGTAGTGAGGGCTGCAGCTATGAAGCCTACGATGCTGGCAGCGGCTGGGATGCGGAGATGGAAGAGGCGGAGATGGAAGAGGCGGACATCGAAGAGGCGGACATCGAAGAGGCGGAGACATGATGAGCGGGTGGTCGGGAGCGCGGGTTCCGACATTGGCGACACCTAACAAGAGACAGATGACCGCTTATCGCATTGGATATTGTGCAGTACAGTTGGTTCAATGTGCCAGTAGACAGACGTCCTTCTGCCCCGCAACTGACTCTGATGACGTTGCTCGTATGAAATGGGGCGGTCTCTTAAAAATGCACAATATTTGTTGATAGACGGATCTCATGATCATAGGTCCGCTTGTTCTGTGAAAGACTAAGTCGCGCATCTGCCTCCTTCCCACGGCGACCACCTGGCCAGACAAGCAGTACACTTCGGCTGCTGGGTCCGGTCGGCAAGCACTGCAACGTGTATAAGCATGATGTAGAACCTTTGCCGACCATGCGGTAGTACATGTGGTCCCAGCATGTGTGTCTGGGCAATTTTCTCTTTGTCTCAACGACCATGTCGCGTCGCAAATGGCACGCAGTGGGCCCGCCACCTTCAGCAGACTGCTGCTCGGCACTATAAGCTTTTGAGACCCCACCCTCCACTCCCTTTTAGGTTCAAGCGGTTTCCTCCCTCTAACGCCAATGCTCGGTTCAGATTTGTTTCAAAGGAACGTCAAAACCACTGGCGGCCAGGCCATATCATCCCCCCCTGATCTTTCTGCTACACACCATGTTGAACCCAGCCCCTTCGCTTAGACATCCACTCTTCAATTCTGTCTCTTCCACTAGCTGCGGAAAGTTACACCCGCAATGGACATACGCTTCCTAACGAAATCTAAGGAGGATGTGGAAGGAGGATCCATTGTCACCATCATCGGACCCCCTCCATGCTGCATTCAGAGTGGCATGGAGGTCGCGTTAATCCCAGCCGCAGCGGAAGAGGTCAGACCATTTTGTGGAAAATTGGTTACAGCGGTGGCAGCTTCGAGCATCTGGGTGGCATTCGAGTTGAAGGGGGATGTGGGGCAAGACTGTATCTTGTTGATCGACCGCCAGAACGCCCGCCTTAGCTGGAAGGAGCGATGGCAAACCTTCAACGCTTCTGGAACTTGGCTAAACATTTTCCCCCCAATGATCGCCGCATACCATCCTCAGCCAATATCGTTCGGAGCAGTCGGCGAGCCTCTAATGATACCAGAACCAGTGAGTTGACAAAGTCAACAATAGGACACGCATTTACATAGTACAGGCTTGTCATAGCGCAGTCCGAGACACACCGTGGCCATGGACGAATTTCTTGAAACCGGGAGAGAGGCAGCCGGTTCATGAGCACCTGGCGCAGGTGCAGCGGGCAGCAACGGAGACTCAAGATACTCTCGCCAGAGTCGCCTGGGCCGCAGAGGGTGCACTATGTCTCTGAGGTGGCGCACCATGAAGAGAGGTACGCCGATAGTGTCTTTAAGCATTTCCTATCACCACGATGGGTTAATCAAGTATGCACCGCAGTGTAGCAATTGCAAGAATCGCGCCTTCCTTGATCAATTCTCCACATTTGTCAGTAGTACATACAATCATACATCCGTAGCGTTCACGAGTTTTGTGCTCGAGTACCCACCTCACCACACCCTTTCGTGGCCCATCCCGCCCTCGCGGCTGACTCGGGCCACCACAGGTCGCCATCGGACAACACGGGACTTGTGTCGGATCGCCGCGCCCTTCGGGCACAGGCTTTCGCCCAACCGCGGTCGTCTTCTTGTTTTCTTTCTTGTCCTTCTTGCGTTACGATCCCCAACATTCATTCAGTAGAATCCCATCACATGCGATTGAAAAGAGACTCACGTGTCAGATAGTATGTGTTCTGTAATGTCATTCGTGCTCGGATTGTTTACATTGAGAACTCCTCCCTTTGCGCAGAAGCGCAACAAAGGGCATAGATGTCAGGCCACAGCCAGTTATGGAGGTGGCTGTGGTATGAGTTTCTCGAAGTCCGCTGACACCTGCGCATGCACCTCTATAACGTCTGGATCGAGACTAGCAGTTCGCAAACCAGTTTGTCATTGGGAATGACAGGCAATCGCGAAAGCTTATCGGGCCGATCAATCAGGCCAAGTGGCGTCTGGCCCGTTGATGACAACCTGCTCTCACCTCTTGCTCTTGTCCGTCACTGCTCCTCAGAAGCCCATCCAAGGATTCGAAATGGCCACGCTCCAAGGATTCGAAATGGCCACGCTGTCAGGTACGAAACTTGCCATGTCAAGCACGGCGGTTGACAGATTGTTGCATGCGCTCAGCCACTGACCTCGTGAGGGTTGTTGCGGCGGTCATGCATAGAGAGTTCGTGATTGCCTGTCGCAAGCTGCAGGCCGAAGGCGAGGACGATATCAAGATGCCGCCTCTTTTGCCCTCGACGGATTCATTTTATCGGCCTGATCTTATATCGGCCTCTCTTGTGGCGGACTGTGGGTACGCCGCTGCTCTCATAGCAAATGCCTTCAGTTCTGTCGGTAAGTGTCGACACCATCGCCCCAGCAGCAGCTCATTGGGGGCCAGTCATTGCCCGAGACATAGATGCAGATCGTTACTGCGCTCGTCTGCAGGAGTCCAAAGGAACTGCGGACCCCGCTATTGACCGCGAACTCCGCCGCTATGGACGCTGCTACGGCCGAAGTCAATCCGCCTATACCGCGCCTTGCACGGTGGTCGACAAGTTTGGGAATATACTCGCATGGTACCTTCCCAATATCCTCACGCATAAACGTCAGGTAAGCACATGATGTTTAGCAATTTGTTGCAACCTTAACGAGGCTATGGAGGCCGCGATGAAAACGGCCATGGCAGGTGCGCGCCAGCAGTTCAGTGCGAATAAGCCTATACCAGGCGAATCGAAGCCCAGCTGGCGACGCAATGAACAAAACTTCATTCAACCTCCTAACCCGGCTGCGCCTCTTGGTGCCCCGACGTTTGCTCCGCCTGGTATCCAATAGGAAGCCCGGTATGTTTTGAACTATCTTCCTATGCACAATACTTAACGGTCAGCAGTCTGAAAAGCCTACCACTTCTGCAACGTTGAGCGGAGACAAGCGGGAGTCCGGGCTCCACTTCCTCGACGAGATGGCGGAGACGAATGCCCTGATGGCAGCCATCCTGTCTGTCATCCACCCAGAGCAGTTCCAGATAGGCGTACGGGCGCACCAAACCTTGGGGAATGCGGAACCACTCCGCGAGGTGCTCGCTCATTGGCCTTCCTGCTTCACGGCCCTGCAGGTGATCAACAACCGAGTGAGCCCGTTGCATACGGACCCCGGTGCGCCGTACCCTGCTTTCGATGTCATTGCTTCAATTGGCGATTACACCGGTGGCCACATCATTCTTCCCACTCTGCCGGTCGACTTCCAGCAACCGCCTGGCAGTGTGCTGGCGTTTTGCGCGCGTATGCTCCCGCACTCGGTTGAGAAGTTCGTAGGGGACCGCATCTCCTTCGCCTGGTTCATGAAGGACCGAGTGTGTGAGTATGCTGGGGCACCTAAGGTGTCTTGGTGCAATCAAGAGAATGTGAAGCGTCTGCTGGGAACGTACTAGGACATGTATTACCTCAAACCATCTCTTCTGCTATGTACATGTTAATGCATTCGCTGTCTCGAAATTCGTCTATTAAGTCACTTCTTGTTCTTACAAACATCCACGGCGGCCAAGAAGCGTCGGAAGATGGGAACGACTAATCAAGAAACCGCCAACCTCTACTTTATGAGACGGTGTTGCTGCACTGCTCTTCGACAGCCCTTCCGCTTCTCGGCCTCTTGAAATGTCGCGGTGGCGACGTGGCTGGGGCATCGTCCAGGAGCAGCCGCTTCTTTCCAGAGTGACGGACTTCATTGCCAGAGCGCACGGTCGATGACCCAGACGAACTTGAACTGACGGACTCCGCTGCAGCTCGCGGAAGCTGCACGGGCGGCGTAGAGGGGAAACTGTGCCAGGAAAACCCGGGCGGCGGCGCCCCACGAGGTCGGGGTGGAGAGGAGGGCGGCAAGGCGGCATCTCCCGACACGAAGGGGAACCTTGCGATCGACAACTCCAACGGGCACGGCGGGGTGGGCTGTTCCAGAGGGCGGTCTGCCATCAGCCGGCCATATGCACTGCTTCCATACGCCGCGCTCACCACCTCTGCCTGTCCTTCAGCTGCCTGTCTTTCGGCCGCCTGTCTTTGCTGAACGATCCACGTTCTGACCGCCGTCTGTCTGGCCGCCGCCTGTCTTTCGGCAGGCAATCCTTCGACAGCCTGTCTCTCGGCCGCCTGTCTTTGATGAGCGATCCACGTCTGGCCACCGCCGCCTGTCTCTCCGCCACCTCTCCTTCGTCTGCCTGTCTGTCGGCCTGCCTGTCTTCGCTGACCAATCCACGTTCTGGCCGCCGCCTGTTCTCGGCTGGCAGTCCTTCGACCGCCTGTTTCTCGGCCGCCTGTCTATGATCAGCAATCCACGTTCTGACCGCCGCCTGTTCTTCGGCCGCCTGTTCTTCGGCCGCCTGTCTCTCGGCCGCCTGTTCTTCGGCCGCCTGTTCGGCCGCCTGTTCTTCGGCCGACTGCCTCTCGGCGCCTGTTCTCGGCTGCCTGTTCTTCGGCCGCCTTGTTCTGCGGCCGCCTGTTCTTCGGCCGCCTGGTCTGCGGCCGCCTGTTCTTCGGCCACCTGTCTCTCGGCCTGTCTCTCGGCCTCTCTCCTCTGCGCGTCCCGTGTGGCCCACTCATCGTACATGGGAGGCTGCATGCCGTGCTTGGCATCAGATGCAAGCCACCCCGACATCCTAAATGCTCTCCTTCGTTTTGTAACTGCCCCCAGTGCCGGATCAGTTGAATGCAGTGAGCCTTCTTGATACTATGCGGCTCATCGAATGTGACGAAGTCGGGCCATAAGCCGCCTTTGAGCCACAGGGACGTGCCGAGTGCCTTGGCGTGTTTCCAGGGGGACATACCCCATTCTTCCATTAGAAGCAGCAGCTTGTCTCTTATTAGCGGTGCACGCTATCCAGGACATCGACGCTCACTGTGATGTTCAACGAGGAACTGGTTAAACCATCGTCTGCCACTCTTGCGACGTCCTCGTTTCAAGCTTTTCGAGCTCTTCAGGCGGGGGGGAATTATTGGCAATCCTGTCGCCTCATCGGTGGCAAAGAGCCGACCGAAGTCTGCCCTCTGCTGCGCTACTCTCGCATCCAAAACAGACCGGGGCTTCTCTCCCAATAGATCAGTGGCGAACCTCTCCCAGTCAGACCAGAGGTTCGTCGAGTTCCACTTGGGGTCACGGGTCACATCCGAGAAGTTAGATGGTGCGCCAATTATGGCATTATGATCCACGCTGCGTATCATCAGCATGTGGCCGAAGGATGAAAGGGGAGACTGACAGGCTCACAACTGGTCCTATATCCGTTGTGTTGGCCGCAACCAGAAAGCAGACGCGGACCCCGTTTTCACGCCACATCTTCTTGGTAAATGTCGCGCACTTCTTTTTGAGACTGCGATTCAACATCCTAGTTCACGGCAGCTTGTTAGACAGACAGGCATCCACCAAGAGGCCAGCCCCAGATAGGCGGATCACTCACTTTGACGGAAGCACGGGCCGAGACGGGGGCACATTGCCGGTGTTAATGTCCGCATCGACTGACTCTGAGCGCTGCAGTGTTGGGAGCTGCTCTGGCTCCCAGGGCACGATTTGGAGTGACATAGCGAGTTGAGGAGATATGCCACTTGCCAACACTTTCGGGCCAGTTCATGAAATATTCGTGGGCGGCGCCAACTGTTTCAAAGTGCCAGCCCAACGGGGTATCATCTTACGCCTTTTACAACCTTCCATGCAACAACCACCTTGAACGCTTCTTTCTACGTAACCGACTGCAAACACCAATGCCAATTGGGGGTAGTACTGACCAAATGTGGGCAGCACGCGGCCGACTTAGCACCGCTTCTGTTGGAATCCTGCTGTTGAAACGCCATCCAATATTTCGAAGCACTGGTAGCCGCCAATAGCAGGCTTAGAGGCTTTGACACGGTGTTGGGAAGCCCGGTTAATCACCGGATGGCCAATGAGGGTGCTCTATCCTTGCCTGTTTTGTACCGGGAGAGCGTGGAGACGTGCATGTTGCATTTGCAATTACCCGACTCCGCAGATCGGCCGTCGAGCGGTGCGGATCACTATGTGAGGTGCGGAGCTGTGCAGTGCCACCGGCTATTCAGTTCAGACAACCTCGCAGCCTCACGTGCACGAACAATCATCCCGTCACTGCAACAGTCAAGCGTCAAGAGACTAAAACAAGCACCCAAAATGACATCATTATCAGGTACGAGGCTCGTCTTGTGAAGAGCAGCGGTTGACTTAGATTGCTGCATCCGCTCAGCCATTGAAAAGGCGTCGACAGAGATCGACAGCATGTTGGAGCACCCGGCGTGACCAGCACAACATTGAGATCGCGCCACCCGGCGTGCAGACATGCGCCACCCAGACCCCGACCTGGGTCGCGTTCTGAAGGTCTCTATCCACATGAGGAATATTGTCGCTGCGGTCATGCAAAGACAATGCACGATGGCCATCCGCAACCTGCAAGCTGAGGTGGATGGGGATGCCCAACCGCCGCCTCTTCTACCTGTGACTGACCCATTCTATCGACCGGACCTCATCACCGCCTCTCTTGCGTCGGAATGTGAGTCTACTCAAGATGCGGTGAAGCGTCTGCTTGACATAGCGTGATTTGTATTTACCGTCTCTCACCCATCGTTCCACCTGTCAAACAAGCTGCACTATGGAGGCAGGTACCTGAGTTTTCCCGCCTGTACGACAGTAGCTCTGCCTGTCCTGTCCGTCCGAACCGCAGACATTCAATAGTTGGTCGATGTAAAGCCTCGCGGTCAATGTACTGTACTGTAAAGACCCAAATGCAGATCTTCAAGTGGCCAGCTTTGTGTAGGCTGCACGGGCATCCGCTGCTAGACTGAGCCACAGCGCCGCTTGTCGCCGCGCATATGCTTGGTGTCCTGAACTCCCGTGACACCGCATCTTCCACTGACGGGCCTTGAACTCGAATGAGCGGGCCGTCTGTTGCATCTCCTCACCCACCAGGACCAGCTGCTCTCGCCAGCGGTCGCACTTGGCCTTCTCTCGCAGCCAGTTCACGCGGTGCACTGGGGGCCCATGAGCACGTTCCTCAGATCGGTAAGGCAAGACGCGCACGTTCTGTTAGCCACTCTGAGCTCTCCGTATCCCCTCCCACATCGACTGCCCATATCCACGATAGCTCTTTGTGACGGCTTTTCCGCTCTGTGTGGTCTAGCAAGTGTGTCGTCGTCTTGAGATCTTCTTTAGTCAGAGGTCGGTATCGCTGCAGCTGTGGTGGCAGCGTCTTCAGCCATTCACGAAACACTTGCTTGGCTTCCACCTGGGCACTGCTGTTCGGCTGCGATGGCTGCCCAGAGCTTCCCACCCCCTTTTGCTGTGATGAGTCCCGACCCATGGCCTTGTGATAGTCTTTGAACTGCTTCTCCATTTTGGCCGCTTCGGCGTCCCCCATCAGCACCCGTGTCATGCCCGTTCGAGCCAAGGTGTACAGGCGGGCGCACTCTGTGATGACCTTCGTCACTCCACTGACGTCCTTGTATGCTCTCGTCTTCGTCCTTTGGCTGTTAGCGAGGCGAACCTTTGTGCGGAATAGAACGGATTTCATGCCGAGGGCCATACGAAGTCGGTGGAGGGCATCGTTTGCCTGACCCTCCCTCAGGCGGAGCTCCCGACGACCCATCTCGACCTTCCCCAGCTCTTCCAACCTCACCTTCCCCAATGTCGATGGCAGCAGAAGTGAGATGGACTCCGGCAATATCTCATCTTCAGGTTCATCCATCACTATGCGATCCTCGCCCAAATCAGGTTCCTCTTCAAGATCCTCCCATTCCTCTCCGGCGTAGGCCCCAGGGTGTCGGGCCGCTTCATCGTCTGCCTCCTCATCATCTTCCTGCTTCCAGTAGCCAGCTGCTTTGCTCGAAAAGCGATCCACCGCTCGCTTCAATTTGTTGCGCTTCTCCACAAGCTGGAGTCTGTCCGCCAGTAAGGCGTGCTTCTTCAGCTTTCGTGCCAGCGCGCTTACAGCGAGCCTGTTCACATCAGCGCAATACCGACTCTCAGATTGCAGCACCCACTGTTGCTCCTGGATCAAAATTCCCTCCGCCAGCCATGACGTAGATCCGGGGCTGTCCTTCTGTTTGCCCTCCTCTTGTTCAAGCAGAAGCTGCATTTGCTTCTTACCAGGGGCTGCATCACTGTCAAGACTGCATCCCGGATATATCGATTCAACAAGCGCGCACCTTTCTCTTGGGTGACCTCATAGGACTCCATGACCGACAGATCTCGTCCTCTCTCCATCCGCGCTCTCATCTCAAGCTCCTTCCATTTGGCCAACAGTTCTGCGTCACTAGACTCCTCGAGTTCCTGTAGCAGCTCTTGGCACAGCTCCTGTTGCTTCTCAGCCTGGATGAACCTCCGAGACAGCATCTTCACTGCATTTTGGGTAAGCGGGGGACTGACAGTGTCGGCAATGCAAACACACCCATGCCGATTGTCTTTCGCCAATTGGCGTCATTCATATGGTCGTCGATGACCTCTTTCCTATGAGATGTTGCCATGGCGCGTGTGCTGCCCGATATCCGATTGAGCGGGGCCCATAATGTCTCGATGATCTCGCCGTCTACCTGTCCAGCGCCAGGAATGAATGAAGGCGAGTACTTTGGTAAACAGTCGCGCTGGTGGCCATGGATGTGGAACAGGCCAATTCCCCAAAATATGTCAGCCGCCTCAGGCCAGCTGAGGTGCGCGCCCTGAGCAAACCTCGCCAGGACCTTCTTGCTGTACTGACATGCGATGTCGTACATGATAAGAAACGTTTGGATGCCTGTGTGGTGCCGTAGCGCCTGGGAAAGCGCATAATCCATGTTCATTTGTCTGGAGCCTTTAAGCTAGCCTCTTCAAGCAGACGACGGATGTTGTACTCACCGTTCCCCCTTCTGGAAATCCACCACCGCATGAGGGATGAAGCAACCATGTCGCCCACAGGCAACTGCGCCAATGCCTGTAGCTTCCATGTCATGGCGGTCGGCATTGGCTTGATTGACGGCACGATGAGCGTGACAGCTTGATTGCTAGAGTGCCATGAGCTTAAGAAACCGCCGAGCTGAGCTACCTACCTCTCGTTGTTCCAATGTGCCCTGGGAGGTGATTCTTGTACGGTGCATCTGTCACCATGAAGCCATGCCCGTCACCGATGGCTACATCATCCGCGGGGCAGCGCATCTTCAGATGCTCGGCGCTGAAGTTGCCGTCCATGACAAACGTCTGCATAAACTTCCACCTGCAAAAGGCTTGTCTCCCGGACTGCAACGAACAAGCGGGGCGCTTACCGATCGGGATCCTGTTCCCAACCTGCCTTGAGGTTGACTCCGGGCATTGGACAGGCCACACATCCCAGCGCAAGCTCACCGGGACCCACTGGCCCTCGTTCGTGACCAAAGCCATTCCATTTGCGATATTTGAGGTTTCGCCACTGTCGGCTGACACGCAGAAGCTCGCGGTAGCGGTCCTGTAAACAGTCAGACAGCGCCATATTGAAAAGCTTCCGCTCTCACAGGCACGGCTTGAGGAAACGCGGGGTTCGACAGGCGGCGCAACGCTGATAGTAGCTCTCGGCAGCACTCCCTGAGATCTTGTTGGCCAGCAAGAAGTCGTTGAGTACCCGGAACGTGAAAGCAGTCCGGGGTGCAGGACAGAGGCGGGATAGAGCCCTATGGAGAGAAGCTGCATAGCCTCAGGCTCAGCAGTGTGGCATACACATGGAGAAACCCGTATGCTGTGCACGCCGGTGATGTCGACCACTGTAATCCGCTTACATGGTTGGGTGCCGCCATACATGGCGACTAGAGGGCACGACTGCCCAAAGTGACCCAAGAAGACTCGGATCCCGACATCATAGAGAGAGCTTGGTGCGTAATAACCTGAACCGGACGATATAAGACGGGCTCAAGAGACTGAGAAGAGGCGGCCGACTCACCCTCCTCTGATTCAATTGGGCCTTGCTGGATGGGGTCCGCCGCTTCACCGTCGTCGCTATTGTCGTTGCCGTCTGTGTCCGAGAAGAAGCGTACATTTGCCTCATCCGCCTCTTGAGCGATCCATTTCTCTATGGGATGCAAATAACTCGCTGCGTGTCGTCGGCGACAGCAGTCGGTGCACAAACTGGGTGAGCCGACGCATTCAATGCAGCGCCACGGGCTCCACTCTGCTCGGCAATCGGCACAATTCCGCTTCTCTCTTGGACCCTCAAGCTCGATTAGGCGCTCCAAGAACGATTCCCGTAAAGCCAACCATGCGTCCATGAAATCAGCCTGTGTCTGTCGGGCGCTTCAGGACAGGCACCCACAACTATAGATTAGCACCTACTGATCCCGAGTCTTTGGGTCGCTTAGGCAGTGGCCCATGGATGCCAACAAGGTCCGCAACGTCGATGTGGTTCCTGGGGTCCATCGGATCCCGTGGATCGTGGCTCGGCAGATCGCCTATTGGGGGTGGATGAATCAGAGGCTGATTACCATCAGCCCTGGATATTTCCACCATCTTGTAGTCAACCCCTCTCCGCGTCTTTGTTGCCACAGGGCGGACAAATTTGAGTCTCTGGGTAGAGCCCAGGACCTGCCATTTGCGAGGAAGCTTGTGTGGCTTTCCTGACCCGGACATGGTGGTTTGGGTCAACAAGCAATTTTAGTGTCGCACGTGGCACGTGGACTCACACGTTACCAAACCGTTGTCAGTCCGCCTGCCTTTTGAGGAGTGCCAAGAAGCGTTGGTCACTTAAGCGCGCACTTCTCCAACAGAACAGTTACTCCATTCCCAAATTGGATCTCTCCATCGTTCCCGCTCAGAATCCCTTGCTCGGAGAGCAAGGCTCTCGCAGGTCGAAATGAACGCTACCCCTTTCGACTGTCGTTGTTTGTTGTTTGCATTCCTCGCCATACCAGTCTTAGTGTGCCTTGTGTCGTCATCATCGTCCAACCTGACACCTCACGCGACCTGCGTATATATTATACTGTTCGTACTTAGCTGCGCCCTGACCCCGCCTCAGGAGGAGGAGGGGCGTCCATTTAGCCACCGGTCGATAGCGCACGTGCGTCTCGACTTGACGGCGACCATGTACAGCCAGTCGAGCATCGTGCAAAAATGTACAAGTGAACGGTTGAACGTACGCGTTGAACGTTTGAACGTCCATACGTCCGAACCGTGAGAACTGGCGCGCCGCGACCGCCTCCTCTACGTTTATCTGCCAGACAGCTGAGTGCGGGCCTTGCGGGGGTGCGGATGCGGGCGGCTCCATAGTATGATGCACGGCCAATCTGCTTCAATCAGCCTAGTACTTGTGAACGCATTCAGCAAGACAAAAAAGAAGAACGAAATTTTGAAGACGCTCACGCAAAACGTCCGAGCAAGGCTGGCACGCCATCGCTGGCGGCATTTCGAGTATGGAGGTACCGTCTCTTAATCAGGACCGCCGTTTGACAAGCGGGTCCATCCTTGGATCTGTCCTGACATAAACGTGTCAAATCGTGCGATCTGTGCCCATATGTCACGTCTGTCGCTGAAGTGCATTCAGCTCAGTTTCAATCGCCTTGGAGTGGTGGAAACCTTAGTTCGTATATTCCCATCGTCAACCCAAACCCACCATGTTCGATGCTGGGTCTACCCTCCGCATCCGCGACACGCCGACGTTGCTCATAGGGATCTCCGCGCACCTAACGCAATGGAGCCGCATCTCATGGGCATCCCTGGGACCCCAGAAAACTCCACAATCGGTTGTGAGTGCTCCCAACTCCGCCATGAAATACTTACACTAGGTGATGTTTCACCACAGTACATATCTTGACACCAGCGTCGGGCATGACGACGGGCGGCACCTGGTGAAAAAGGAGCTTCGCACCCGCGACGGCAAGCGCTACACGTGGACCCTTCTAGTCCTCACCTGGGACGGGCAAGACGATGCGGTCGAGGTTTCTCATCAACACCCTGGTGGAGCAGAGAATTGGCTAAAATATGTTGGGGACGGGTCCAAGGAATTGGGGCGCATGGGGGAATAGGCAGTCCTGACGGACGCCTCCCTTGCTAGGAGAGCAAGGCTCTTGCAGGTCAAAATGAACGCGTCGTTGTTTGTTGTATGTGTTCCTCGCCATACCAGTCTTAGTGTGCCTTGTGTCGTCATCATCGTCCAACATGAGTTTTTCGAAGTCTGCTTGACAGCCACACCTCTATGACGTCTGGATTGAGACTAGCGAATTGCTACAGAAGGGCCACAACTCGGAAGAGGGGCCACAACTCGGGAGGGATTGTGATCAATTGCACCGTTGCCTGTAATTCAGTTGATACTTCCCTAGTGCGTTGGCAGCTAGGCAAGGAGGACCATTGTCAATGGACAGGTGTCGCATGGAGCTGGTCAAAGGCGTAAAGATAATGCCCCGTCGGGCTGCCTCTGATTGCTGCTGTGCCATCGCCCACGCGAATGTCGGCCCATCGCAATGCATATGAGCTCACCCGATGGCAGTGGCAGGTGGTGTATCTCCCCACTCGTCATGAAGAAACTCACAGTTTGGGCGGACGATCAGCTCGCCACCATGGAGGCGTACACGGCGGCCTTTCGCCTGGCCGAAGAGCCAGCCAGGAGAAAGGTCGTCGACGATGTCCTGGGGCAACTCAAGACCATGCCGCTGCAGAGTTTGGAACAATTGACAGAGAAGCAACAGAAGGCGGTGAGGGAAGATGTCTCTGGATCATTGAACGTGCTGACCGCGTGTTTAGGCCGTCCTGAAATGGCTCGCACAGAACTGTAAGGAAGGGGGGAAGAAGAAGAAGCAGAAGACAGGGGTTTCCGGCACCACGCGCGGCTTGGACGTGTTCCGGCGCGAGAAGCGGGAGGAGATATATGAAGCGGCGTACGGTGGCAAGGAAAAGAAGCAGTTCGGGGCCTTTAGGGCGAAGACGTACGAGCTTTGGGCACTCGTACCTCCTGCGGAGAAAAAGGAATATGTGGCCCAGGGTAAGGAGATCCGCGGCTTGATCCATGGGAATATCGGCAACGTGGAGCCGCCCGTGCTTCCGTCAAAGTGAGTGATCCGCCTATCTGGGGTTGGCCTCTTGGTGGATGCCTGTTTGCTTAACAAGCTGCCGTGAACTAGGACGTTGAGTCGCAGTCTCCACACGAAGTGCGAGACATTTGCCAAGAAGTTGTGGATTGAAAACGGAGTCCGCGTCTGCTTCCTGTTTGCGGGCAACACAACGGATAAAGGACCAGTTGCGGGCCTGTACAGTGTTCCCTTTCATCCTTCGGACTGATGCTGATGATGCGGCAGCATGGATCATAATGCCAAATTTGGTGCACCATCTAACTTCTCGGACGTGGCCGATGACCCTGACTGGAATCCGACGAAGCTCTGGTCTGACTGGGAGGATTGGGCTACTGATTTATTGGGAAAGAAGGCGGAGTCCGTTTTGCGTTCGGGCAATGTGAGCAAAGCACAGAAGAGGACGGGATTTGGTCCGCTCTTGGCCACCGATGAGGCAACGGGATTGCCGAGGATTCCTCCACCTGAAGAGCTCGACACACTTCAAATGAAGACCGCGCAGGAGTGGCAGTTCATGGTTCGACAGTTCCTCAATGATCACCACAGTGAGCGTCGATGTCCTTGATAGCATGCGCCGCTAATAAGAGACTAGCCGCGGCTTCTAATGGAAAGAAGCGGAATATCCCCTGGAAACGCGCCAAGGCACTCGACACGTCCCTGTGGGAAGACGGCTCATGGCCGGACTTCGTAAAATTTGATGAGCCGTCCAAGATCCGGAAATCGCAGTGCATTGAACTGATCCGATACTGGGGGCAGTTACAAGACACGGACGAAGGGAGAGCATTTCGGATGTCGGGCTGGTTGCAGGATGACGGCGACACTGCTATTGACGATCCTGAGGATGTGCAGCCAGGAAGGTACGATGAATGGCTCGCACGGTGGATCAAGGACGCACCCAGGAGAGAAGCGGAGAGACAGCGCGAGGATGAGAGACAGGCGGAGGAGAGACAGGCGGTCGACAAACAAGCAGCCAGCACGCGGATGGCTCAGCAACCTGGAACCCAGACACAGGCAGGGGGGGCGAACATGGCATCTGGAAGCGGTGCGTATAGCTGGCCCGCGTCCAGTCAATCGTTGCTGACTGCACAATGGCAGGCCAATCTGGGAAACAGCTCGCTGCGCCGCACCTGTCTGCAAAAGCCTTAGGGAAGCAGAAAGCAAGGAAGGCCATACCGTCAGAGACCCCCTCTCCATCGTTGTCTCCCAGCTGGTCCTCACCGGAGCCCTCAGTGAATGACACTGAAGAGCAGGCAGGAGACGCCTCTGAGGGGTCGACTGCCGTGAAGCCCACAAGCACGCAAACGGCGACCGCCGAGCCCATCCCAGCAGAGCTGCCCTTTAATGGGATGGCCCCTTCAGCCGCTCGCCCGAGTATGCGCGTCAACTTCTTGCGATCCCTGTCGACCGACAGGCGGTACATGGTTCTGTGCAACGAATATGCTCGCGCGATTATCGCTGCGGCCAAGCCTGGACGCCAACCGCGACCCGCCTATACCCCCCCTGCCATTCCGGGCGTGCCTTGGGCGTCATGGAGTTGGGGTTCACAATCTCTTCCTCAGGAAGTCCACAAATCCTCCAGCGGGCTAGACCCACTTATCACGTATCTGCGCGCTACTGTATGGGTCTCCGAGGGGAAAGCAGCGCTGCGCAAAGTCGAACAGGTTCTCCTCGCTGTCGGACTTGCTCTCCGCGACATCGATAGCGCCCAGTTTGTCAATGACCCTGACGACCCACCTTCGGCAGGGATACCTCCTTTCGTTGTGGCGACGCAACTCGGCATTGCGTCGAGCAACATGCTGCTTGATCTTATTCAGCCTATTGCAAACGCCCGGATTGTGGACGTATTCGGTAAAGCCCCGGCACCCGCTGCGCCGCCTGCCATCACTCCCAACTTGCCTGCTGTTCCTAAGAGCCTGTCACCACGCCCTCTCTCGCCAATGCGTTCCATCTTGCCTCGTGCACCTCTGCCTGGTGCCGCTCTCTCTGCTGCGTCGTCGCCTTCGCCCGCCCCCAAAGCCCATGTGCAAGAAGCGGCCCTCGTTCCCGGTCAGGTTGAGACGCTGCGCCCATCTGACGGGCAGGCGATGGACTTGGAAGAGATGGCAAAGGTTCCTACCGCGTCTCGAAGCATTTCGCAGGGAGGATCAGCATCGAAGGCGCGCAGACGACCGTACGAAGATGGCCCTCAGGCCTACGAGGCAGAGTCTACATTGCGTCCCTCGAAGAAGCCTAGGAGCGGAACCGTTGTAGTGGCTCCCGAGGCCATGTCGCAGCGGCCTCATAGGGAGAGGCGGGCTCCACAGAAGTTGGACTTGTAGCGGGTCTGGTAAACTGGTACTCGCTTCTTGCACACGTCTCATCGAGCGCATGTTTCTTGGGAGCAGTAAATCTTGGTCATCAGTGTATATACGCATCAGGTTCAGTTGTTACAAGCGGCACAGTACGCAACAGAGAGAATGCAAGTACACAAGAAGAGACGGTAACTACGTGCTGACGCTATTTCGACAACTCGCCTTCCTCCATCACATGGGTCTCCGCCCGCGCCTTCGCTTTGCGGGGAAGCCCACGGCGCGGTGACTGGTGGCGAGCTGAGCCGTCCTCGACTTCAAGTGCCTGCCCAACCGCCTCTTCGCCAGTGCCCAGGTCATGGTTGGACCTGTCGGTGTCCGACTGCCGCATCGTTAGGAAGGAAGGTCCTTCAGAGAACGGCGATGACGAGAAGATGCCCCGACCATCGGGAGCAGGGGATGTCAGCGCAGGGTACGGGTTCGGGTTCCAGGCCTGCGGGGGAGTCCGGGGAGGCGGGGTCCGGGGAGGCGGGGTCCGGGGAGGCGGGGTCCGGGGAGGCGGGGGCGGGTCGGAGTCCGGGGAGGAGGGGTCGGGACAGGTCGGGAGCGGGGGGCGGCGGGGTCGGACAGGGGGAGTTCGGGGAGGCGGGGTCGGGACAGGGGG